GACGCTGTTAAACAGGTCTTGTATAGCCGGCAGTTAGTCCTTTCCGATAATGACGAATGTGTCGTCCACGTAGTGACGCCAAAACGCAGATTCGTAGTGGCTGAAAACGACCTTTTCCAATTCTTGTAAGACCAATTCCGGAACCGGGTTGGATATTGGGAAACCCATGGTTGCTCCTTTGATTTGCTCGCATCTCCTGGCAACGAAGGTAAAAAAGTTCGTTGGCGGAATGCGAAGAGCTGCATCAGCTGTTGTATTTTTGTGGGTCTCACCTTTTCGCCGTACCTCTGTTCGAGCCGTTTGTTTAGCGCATCACGCGCGAGGTCTGACCAAATGGACGTGAATGGTGAGACATCATCGAAGGATAAAATAATTTGGTCGGGTCCAAATGTTATTCCGTGAATGTTGGCAAGGAATTGGATGACCCAATTGATTGAAATCTCAGAGCCATCTCGAAGAAAATTGTGTTGTCCTGCCGTCTTTCAGGGCAACGGTTGGCCGCAGGAAAACGTCAAGTTTGTAGATTTTGGGTAGTACATAGAACCTGGCTAGTGTAGTATTGAATACTAACTATTAGCCGCCAGCAAGTATCAGCAGTGTTCATGACCAAAAGGCAACGCGGATGCTCTCAAGTTTAAAGAGGAGGCAATGAGGAAACCGAAGTTAATCGAAATCCCCCCACATTCTGTCTTTATGCAAGTGAAACAATCAAGGCAAGCAACACAATACTACCAGAGGGTCAAATTTCTACGGTTAAATTGTAATTTCAACGTTCTCGCTTTAATCCAGATCTGTAGGGAAGATCGCACATGAATGTGACGCAGAACCCATGACTGTGGAAAACTCTGACCATCCTGAAAAATGGCCTCGGCCTTATTACGTGTCCAATGAAAATAATGGTAGGCCCATGTATTGAGTAATTTTCACTTCATTGGCCAACATCTGGACCAAACTCATAGTCTGTAACGAATCCGATGAAACTGAGGAAGCAATTAATACATTATTTGGGCCCAGATTTTACCAATGCAGATAAGATTCTTTTTGTGGCTATGTGGCTGAACGAAAACTATCTCCTACAAATTCAGTCCCCTGTTCATCCACCACATTTGTTAGTCGCTGGTTCTAGATTTGACTTCGTGAGAAAACCCCAAACGTAGGATGAATTAAATCTATCTTCCGGACACTACGTCTCCTTCTTTGCAAATGCCTTCTTGTAAGTTTTCGCCCCATTGTATTGTTTATCCCCTTGTCTCGGATGAGTAAATGCGACAACAATTAGATTCACCTCAGATGCATTAAGATCTTTTAAAAACACGCCCACTGCTTGGGGATAGGGCTAGGAGTCTTTTGCATATGAGCACATGGGTGATGATGTGGCGAAAGTGCTTTGCTGCGGCTGTTGTATCATCACGTCTCGATAACCTGTGTTTTTCCGGCCTTCATTGCGTAATAATATCTGTCAGTGTACTTGCATGCGTCTTTGACAGAAGTCAAAGGCTAAATACGAGCAGTATATTCCGTAATATGCATTCTTGACCAGCTCTCCTAAACAAATTAGTATTCTTAATCTCAACCTGGAAGACAGGAGCCCCGAGTTCTGATGATCGAGCACCTGAATTATCGTTAACTGACCAAGGATTCTGGGTTCGAATCTTCAAGTCATGCAAACCTAGGAGTAAGATACAGCTGACTGGTAACTGCTGACGTGCAAGGATCAGTCGTCCCTGTCTCCATTTTCTTTGTTTCCATTTATTTCGAAACAGTACTTGTCGCTTTGCAAATGATCGTGAGGGCTCAAGATAAGACGTTAAAGCATAACGTAGCGAACAGCATTCGTTTGTTATGCAGTTCGTTGATCAACCCTTTCACATAAAGCTAAGGACACCGACGGAACATTTGCTTTCGATATCCCGTTATTTTGTCGGAATTATTAGTCCGGTATAATGTGGGCGGTTCATAGTTTCGGTTTTATGTGCATTGATCCTCTATCTTATTTTAGTGTGCTTTATTACCTGGGAACAGTTAAGCCCCGTCAAATTTACCGTTTGGATGTGTTAAGATAACACACTGGGTTACCCACCCTTTTGACGGCATGTACTGCTTGGGAGTTACAAAAGAAGTGAGCCGACATCCTTAATCTGTGATCTTACGTAGCATTGCCGATTATGATTTCGTCATTCTCGGAAAAATGTGCTGCGACAAGGCCCGAACCCGTTTGATGCAGTCATTTGAATGTGTAAATCACGTCTGATAAACCCCTCACTGCAGGCATGAGAAAATAATGCAAAAAAAACATCCCACAACAAACAGATGCGCATATTTCACAACAACCGACGAAATTCGATCGGCGTTTCCCACGATGTCCACCGTATACAGCACAACTGGTTGGAAGGGGGGCAGTAACTTGCGCGTGAGTTTGCTCAGAGGGATAGCAGACTTGCGAAGCATCTACGCAATATTTCCTCCTCCGCGCCACCTTGACCCGATGTCATGATAGAATCAAGAGAGGGCGCTGGTGGCTGGCATGTTACAAACCCGCACATAAGCGTGTCCGACCGTACCCCATAGTAGACCATGTCCGCAATTTTGCACAAGAAACATGAGGGTGGCTCGGATCCAGGTTAAGTGAGAGTGCCATAAATGCCAAATTAAGAAGGAAGAATTGCAGCCTAACTCTCCGCTCATTGAGGAGAACTGAGTTATATCGTGGGTTGGCAATCTTTCAAGGCACGGTTTTTAGCAAAGCGTGATAGATCCAGGCAGGCCTGATTGTTAATAGTGAGGAATATGCACTGAGACCGCTTTCTGCGGTTTTCAGACGGGTCTGTCCAAAACACCCAAGAAATCGACTTCGCATGCGAGCTTGATTTTGATCTGATTTTGGATTTCTTATTCCACGGGGTGCTCGGCATACTAACTTACGCAATTGGCTCGTGTTTCTCAGTCTTTTATTGTTTCATTTTCTCTAGCGAAAACACATGTGCTACGCCTTAGAATGCTATGCATGAAAAGGAACTAGAAACGAGATCAGGACCATGTTTCTGCATACATCGTCTTTCCTCTCAAACACATAGACAGACGCGCTTACCTTTACGTGGAATGTAAAAGAAAATAACTGCGCGAGTGTAAAAAACAAAAAAAACGGACACACGAATAAATGCACATACGAGCATTCGGACAAATAGTATTATTTTTAGACTTCAACGAAATGGTACAGAGAGGATGCTGTTATTTTTGATGCAGTAGATCTAACTGGATGGTCGGACCATAATCTACTGAGAGGATATTAACGCCTTGTAGTACGTAGAGTAAAATAGTTTTCCTACAGCTAGAGTGCGGAAATAATTATTCAACAATTTAGTTTCGCCAGTCGACTTAAGAACGGACATATCTACCTTCAAAAAGCTACCGGGCTGTCTATGTCCTTCTTGTCGCTAACAGTGCACTCTACTTTAGCATTTTGCCGATTGTTACTAAATGTACATGTAAAGGAGTTACTCAATCATTAGCGCAATTGCGAACGCCGAATCATTTGGTCTTTAATAAAAATCCGCCGCGCGACAGAACTGTCAAATGTCCGCTCGTTAGATGACCCGCAGTAATTAGGATAAGCGCCCGAAAATCAAACAAACAGCAGCCATTAGCACGGTCTTGCTTTCTAGCATTTGATCCTGTCAACAATTAAGGCTGAAAAGATGGCGCACATCCTTGTAATTTGAGAAGAGCGAGTCATATTTTTGGCAAGACCCAATCGTTAAATGGCAGTTTTTGTCTATTTATTTGCTGAATGCACCTCACGCCTGCACCATGGTGGCAATTTTCTGGTACAGTCTCGCCGCGAGTGATGTTCAAAACCTACTTCATTATGCAAGTCTGGGTACAAGTTCCGAAATTAGATGTCGTAGACTTCATTTCTCATGTAGTTTACAACCCGTGATTAAAAGAAATTTGACCACCAGTGAAGTATTGGATACCACTACTGTCAAATCTGTCCATTTATAGGTTTCTTCGCGTCCATCCCCGCACTTACGCAGTTGTCCTCTTTGCTGGGCATAATTATAAGTACAGAACACTTTTTACTGCTGTTATTTCAGACGCCGTATTCCCGAACGATTTCGAGGGGTCGCGTGTTGAATTTACTGGTCCTGGTGCGATTTCCAGTCTTGCTTTTCGTTATATTAGCTACTACCGGCGATACAGATATTTGTTCACACATGCTAAATGGTCTTCGTTTCTTTGGCATTGATGAGTGCATTAGATAGCGGACACCATTAGCTTAAAATGTAGGATGATTCTTCCTAGCTTCTTTCGTTTCCGACATTTGTCGGATTTCGGACCGGGGAAAAACCGATTAAAAGAGGTAATGTCAGAGAAAATATGCATTTCAAAGGGAGCCAAGCATTTGATATGAATCTTGCATGAAAAGGCTGGATGGCGAATCGTAACGGTAACGGTCATCTTGTGCAGGCATTAGTGTGCGTTCACTGCGAAATCAGATTTTCTGTCGAAAGTTCACAAATAATTGATGACCAAATTTAATGCTTTTGGTTTGTAAAGCGTGGCTGAATTATTTTGGGCAAACGGGCATCAGTCTGTGCTTTGAAGGAGAATTAAGTACAGCTCGACGCATTCATTCCTAATCAAAATAAATGCAAGCATGTACCTCAGGACAACTCTTAGGGATCCGGGAAATTAGATGGGGATATGGAGGGGAAAACAGGATTCTGAGGCTGACAAGTGACCGAAGTGAGGTGACTTGAGGCAGGCCGAAAAGCGGGAAAACAAACAAAACAAATGGAGGGCATATGTGCATAAAAACAAACTCAAAACCGCAAAAGTAAGTTTTTGGTAAAGCAACCAAAGCATTTCAGGCAAAAACCAGAAAACGTGTACTAGAGCGATAATAATAAGATCAGAAAACACCTTAAATAGACCTAGGGGTAAGAAAGCAAAACGTTTTTCCTTGAAAAGGAACCGTCCCTACAACAGGGAATAATCACTTAGGCCTTCTGCGCGGCTTGTTGTTCGGCGGCTTTGCGTTTTTCGATCTTCTCTGGGAACTCACCAGCGATGACGCCTATGTAGGGCGTCTCAGCTGCGGTCATTCTGTAAGGTGCTTCAATTAGATAGGTGTAGATGAGTGGGATCGAGCCAAGTATATCTTCCTCCATGGGTACCGCATAGAGGTAGAGCTTGTAGAATGAACCACTCTTGGGTATACGCACCAGCAAATTAATCAGTTGGCTTGGCTGTTCCAGGCTCAGGCCGAGGGAAGTGCCCTTACTGGTGCGATCTCCTGGCAGTAGCTCATCTGGCTCCAGGACTTCAGGGGACTTTTGTAACAGATATCCAGTCACGTCCTTGGAATAGAAAACGATTAGAACCGTAAACCGATAGGCGAATTCGCAGCTGTGCATGTCAGTGCAGTCGAGCGCAAAAAGATAATATCTTACTGGTTTTAAAATTTTAGGACGTGGAAGTGGCGGATTTCCATCTGCTTTTTTGATTAAGAGTAATTAGGGTAGGAGCATATGTTAGATGCAGACAGCAGAGAAATCAATTTGTCTCAAGAAAAGTTTGTCATGTCAAATGTTCGCTTCTGCAGGCTGTCATCATTGAAAAAACGAGGAACCGATTGGTCGAGGAAATACACCATCCTCCAAAATAAACAGTTAGGGCAATTCTACCTCAAAAGCGTACAGATATGATATTCTCTGAAAAAGCTGCTGATAATAGGCGGTCAACAAACGTCTTTTCTGGGTGGTACAACTTAAACTTCGAATAAACTCTGAGTCAACTAAGAGCTCATACAAATTTAACAACTCTAATTCCAATGTTTAGTTTATTCCCCATATTTCGAGCACTTGACGAAACCACGATTGAATTGATGTCCTAAGTCTTAATCGATACCTTATTGATCCAAATGCGGCAGTCCTTAGGGAAAAGTTACGGTGGATTCGTAAAAGTGCACAAAGGATATAATTAAGCTGTTTAACAAAAATATTTAGTACGCTTTATCTGACAGTGACCTCTTGCAGAACCGTGCGTTGCATTTTAAACAACATTTCAGAAATTGGGTCTTTAGCAGATTCAATTAGACCCACTTGTAAAAAAATCGACGAACTCTGTGAGATTCAAATTCAAGACAGCAAAGCCAAGGCTTGATTATAACCAACGCCCTAAACACTTGAGCTACGAGACCATGACAGAGACAGTTGACCGTACCGGATCCGATGAGCCCTTCATATTTCTCAGACTGCCGACCCGGATCTCTTGCATTTGCCAATCTGAAATAAAGTCCCTGGTAATGTCATTAGAAAACTGTTTCGGCTATGGTGACAGGAGTATATGGATTCTTTTCTTAATGGAGGGAACACTCATTATGTGCAGGCGCCAAGAGGGTTGACCGAAAGAGTAAATACATTTGGCAGTACCCAGCAACACCTGTTCGTATACTGCAGTTCGTATTAAGCGATGACACCTGGGACTTTCGTTTCGACTATTTGGTCGTGTTTCCGCAGGACGCTTAATCGAACATCAGAGATAAACGTATAAGAGTAACAGGCGCCTGTGTCTATATGCCGATGAGTGAACATAGCGGAGTCAGTTTATGGCTATTCTACAAATTATATGTTCAGCGAAATAAAGGGGGAAGCATGCGTGCTAATGGGTTTGCGCTTGAAGGCATTTCCGAACAGATCTTCTGTTAAAAAATAAAGATACATCTGCCTTGTATATTATTTGAAGGGCTTACAGACACATAACATGTGAACAAATATCTGTATGATTGCGAATAAATGCATTAATAATCAACATTGTTACGAATAGCAAAAAATAAGTCACGTCCGCCAGCCGAATTTGTAGCTGAGATAGGTTGGTTCAAATCTGTCCTTCTTTTAGCATCTTTTATATGTGACACCTCCGAGATTTCAATGCATAACAGGATTGAACAGAGGTCACTTCGTTACGCAAATGATGTCAAATTTTTTTTAAATTTTATCCATCGGTCAGAAAAGCATTTTAGTATAGTGTTCTTAAGAATAAAGTAAGATGGCATGCAGAGTGGACTTTCTGAAAGTGGGGAAAAATAAGAGCGGGAGTAAATTGCAGTTTCCCAACGCTGGCCGACATCATAAAATACTGTTCCGATTTTGAAGGCAGATTTAATTAAGGTTTTAACGCTGATTTCTATCATATTTCGGGACAATGATGCATGAACGACGCATTTCTGGCGAAAATAATCCGGTGGCCTATGAATCACTTAACCCATAAAATTATAATGAGTTCGGTTCTGCGCATTATACAGTACACAGTGTGTATGTGGTCGACTCTAGCCTACTTGGCTTAATCAACTATTGACGAAAGGTTTACTGGAAAAATATCCATCCCTATATTTATAAAATATCCTTAGTCTGCGCTTCATGCCAATCACATCGGTAATTTTGATGAGTAATTTCATCTACCCTGAAGGGTATACTTTCAAATTTTAATTATTATTTCATTAGTTCCCCCACCTTCTGCTTTACAGTAATTTCACATAATTTCGCGTTCGATGCATGCCAAACAAGCTAATTCAAAGAATCCGACTCAATAACACTAAGTTACTGCACCAGATTTGAATAAGAAGGTTTTTGTGTGAGCTGTACAAATTAAATTTTAATTAACTACTGTGCAAGTTCTAAGAACGCTAAAAGTTATACTATTTTATACTTTGGGTATAGAGATGTCCAGTTGAGTCCTGTACTACAGTAGCTTCATGCACAATATTTGGTTGGATTTAACTAATTGCAATTTCTTTCGCCTATCTCGCAACCTTCCAAATCCCATTCTACATTTTAAACACATATCTTCCATCAATGGAGTAATAATATTTAGTTTTATCTTACCTACAAAGACATCATTTTGAGCTTAATAAAGATGTCAACTAGTAGGACAAGTCATATTCCCTGTCTATTCAGTCGACCAGTATTCAAAGTTTAAAGCAAACTCAGACAGTTCCATCAGTTCAAATTGTTGCCTTTTGTTTTGCTTCATTTAGTTCTGCTGACTCCTAAAAAACAGTTTCAGCAGGTTATTTCCGAATTGATATTTAATGTTGATTTATATCAGACAATCCTTCGTACGGTTAGTGCTCTTTTGTGAAGTTCCAGCTTTTAAACCAGTCTTATGTATGGGTAACTGCAATGTAGTTGGCTGTTATGGTAAATATTGGCTAATGAAGGAAAATAGTAGGAAGCTGACCGAACACTCTGTTATTCAACATCCGGGCATTTTCTTTTACTAGTAGTGGAAAGACCTAATCTCAGCCTTGTCGCCGAATGACGGTCATTTTATTAAAAACGATGCTCCTATTTGTAATGTCCGATCATATCCAGTATGCAACTTGGACCTAATAAGTCGTTGACATTCTGTTTAGTTTATCAGTATATGTAATGAAAGGTGGTCAGTTTTACTATCAAGAAGTAGTTATCTTCTCAAAACACATCACCTTTGTAACCGGAACGACATTTTATTTGACTTGCAATTTCTTTTACTGCAATACGCATAAGTCGTACAAATGAAAAAACTACGAGTTTTTCAGGGGCTTCCTTGTAGATATGATGTATTACTTTTATTACAGCCCTGTTCAGTGCCACATCTTATAGAGTTTATAACGAAAACTCACCAACTCTTCATCGTCGCTAATAGAAACCAGCTGGCTGATAAGGCAAATCTTTTGTTTGTCCGGAAGTCCAAGCGTGATGCAGAGATCAGCTGCCTCTGGATCAATCTTTTCATCTTCCTCCGTAATCGCAGCTGCGGTCTCATTGCCGTCTCCCTGGGCGGCTACAGATTCACCCTCTGCTCCCTCACCTGCGTTTTCGCCTTCGTCCCCGGTCACCCCACCGTTCACTGCACCCGCCGAACCCATGAAACGTTGGAGGACCTGGGCTTTGCTTGTGGCCTTAAGAAGAAGACGCTCGGATCCCGCCCTCCCCGCAGTCCGCACCCGTACTACAGGATCTGGGTGGCTATAAGTCCGAAATCCCATCTTCTCCCATGTAGAATCCTGGGGTCCCAGTTTCATTGTTGCCAGCCGACTACGCAGGATCGCAGACAGGGGTTTGCTGGAGGAGGCCTCGATTAGGAACTGCCAAACCTGGAAATCGAGAAAAAATATCATTACTTGGGTTGTGAAAAGTAACAGTGAAGTTTTATACTTTCAATTATGACAGTGGGCGCTCGCCGATCAGGTTACGGAACATGCTCGTTCCGTTGTGCCTTGGGGCTCATACTAGAACCGTCGCAGGCAGTCGCACAGCGACTAGTAGAAGACATAGATGAGCTAGAGCCGACAATGGCAAGGGAGACCGGAATGGCCATTTCTGGCTTATTAGCCATCATCAGCCAGTCATACCCAACCCCAAGTGTGGATCACTTGAGATTCGAACTCGGGATCTTCGGTCATGGAGTTTGACGCTCTATCATTGAGCCACGGGCCCGTTGTCGTGTCGGTTGTGATCGGGAATATCAATTATGACAGTGGGCGCTCGCCGATCAGGTTACGAAACATGCTCGTTCCGTTGTGCCTTGGGGCTCATACTAGAACCCTTGCAGGCAGTCGCACAGCAACTAGTTGTAGACATATTTGAGATAGGGCCGACAAAGACAAGGGAGACCGGAATGGCCGTTTCTTGCTTATTAGCCGTCATTAACCAGTCATACCTTCAAGTGTGTAAATTGTCAGGAATAATAAAAAATGCCTTCGTTTGTTCATTTCTTTATATCTTCTAAAATATGCGAGCCTTTAAAAATTTGTGAGTATTATTATTTAAAGGCTCTCGTATGAGCAATAATGTGATGCTGTTTTGGGTGTTTAAAGCAATCCTAAAGAGTTTATAACTAAAATTCATGAAGAAAAACAGGAACGCATTAATCTAACTGTCGGGTATCTGAAATTGACTATTATCCCATTCACATTTTAGCCATCTTCGCAAAAACTAGAAGGAGCTTCTTACTTGCAACTAATTGCGTCTAAATAAAACCTGCCGTGGAGAACACGTGGTTCTGTTTCAGTTAAGCTTCCAGACGGGGAATGCATAAGCAATATGAAGAGAAGCACAGTATTTAACAGGCAACTGATGTTCGTTCAATTGCATTACGATTTCCCAATGTTAAGAACTGCAGTTCGTTTGGGTAAATAGGGTCTTTGTAACCATATGTAAGGATGATTTTCAGTGATTTTTGAAATATCTTAAAATATATTTAAAAAGGTTTCGGAAAAGTCAAGAATATGTATGTATTCTGTTTTAAATTACCATCGTATATTTATACGTTGCAGTATAGCAAAATATATGGAAGCTTCAAATAACAATTTTCAGCATTTCATTTTTCAGTAAGAAATTGGCAAACGTCCGTTTATATATCGCAGACCTTACATTTTTGTCACGTTCAAAAAATATTGATTCATCGAATTGAGGAAAGTACATTACAAGTTTTGTGACATTAAATACATAACGAGAATTAAAATGTTTATTTTTTACATTTCCAGTGTTTACAACCCTGCTTCAATTATTTTTCATAAATCTGTTTAACCAAAATGCTAATATTAACTACGTCTTCACAACTAAAAGATGAAGCACGTTGTTACACGAAATTTGTTTTGAAACCATGTTAGACTTTCGACGATAAGATGTGGTATTCAAAGTAGAGTTTAATGGAGAATAGATCGATATCTGTTGGTCACATCAGTCCTTTTTGGTATGAAAGCAAGACCCGAATGTGCTCATTTGGATAGTTGCTCAAGGGGCATCTATTTACGTGGCCCAGGAGCAACATTTTTTTACCATTGTCGTTTTCGACCGCTTTGCACTGCTTGATGGTTTTTTTAATAATGTGTTATTCATATTGTCCTTAAACGATGACGGGACCTTTAAAGCGGTAGTAATCAAAATGTTGTCTAAAATCGATAAGAAACGATGGGAAATACCGGAGAGCTTGGAAGTAATGTTTCTATCTAAAAGCAGGCTAATTTAAATAAATTCTTATCCGCAAATATGTACACAAATTCCCGTCTTAAAGGTTCACTGCAAAAATATTAAATTTTTGATGAAGCTTCTTCTTATGGAAAAGTAAAATCAGCCTGCAATAAATTCTTAATAGAGGAGTGACCAGTGATGCTCAGAAATTGTAAAATTACTTGCACTCGTTTCAAAGCAAAAAATTAAACTGATAGTGCTTTTTTAGTTTAGGGAATGCTAAGGATGGACTTTGTCTTGTAAAAGCTACCCCGAAACTAACTGGACATAATATTGGCTGACTGGACGTTGAAACATTTGTAATAGACAGGTTGACTAAGTTGCGGATATGCAGTATAAAAAGCCACCGTAAGATCTGACATGCAAACGAAGTATGAGGGACATATACAGTAGATGTGCTAACTCATGAAATGTCAACCAAAATTTTGAAATGCGTTTTCGTTTCGAAAAGATAAATGCAAGATTTTTACTAAATGAGTACAAGAGCGATATTTCTGTTTAAGTATTCTCCAAAGTATATTTGAATTCATAAGGACATCGAGAAGCAGTAGGAAAAGATATAATATAAAGACATTCACTTTAGCAGTGTGCGGTCAAAAAGGAGTGCACCTATCATCTAACGTCCCGATGCATCCGAAATACAACTGAACATTACACACAATGGGCTTTTCCGCCATCCTATTATTTTTGTTGCAACCTACTAGTCGTTACAAATCAGGAACACTTAATAGTTTATTAATAAAAACAGACACAACACAATATACTTCGTCTTGCGTCACGTTTTGTCGCTCAGCGTAAACCGAACTCGAGCAAGATGACAGAAAGGCTAAATAAAATTGCGATAATTGGAAATAAGTAACTGTTTCAGCAAGAATATTCTTAAACCAGTGGGGAAAAACGACAAGCTGTATCATGCAAACCTTATACAACAATGGTCCCGTTTTTATACTGTGAATTATTTGTAACCCACATTTATTAGGGGAATACTCTTTCAAAAGACCTGTCTTCGCAATATCGAAGCTGAAGGGAAATCGAAAATTGAAAACTATGCTTCAAAACTGAAAGTTCCTCTAGTTTTATAATAAGGGCGACTTTTCATTGCACAACGGTGACTTCGGTGATTATCTTATGCTATGCGAGTCGGCATTATGTAAACTTCCACTCAAAAGTTTCAAAATGTTTCTGACTGTGGTTTATATATTAGAAACTTATAATTGCCCCAACGGTATTCTGTGGCCTATTTTGAATATATTTTGTAAATCAACTCATTTTTTAAGCGTATTTCTGATAAAGAGTTAATTATCAGAAGTCAATATTTTAATCTTTGACCCCCTTTTCTGTGTAGCTGCTGTCAAGCCTCTTACTGCCCTCATTTCATCTATAATTTTCCTGAAACCATGTCGTACATTGGTTGTCCTTTGCTTGACTTGATGGATTATAACTGAAAATCCTTTCATTACTCGAAGTAAGTCTTAACCAAATTCATGCCTTAACTGGGTTTCATGACAGCAGCTTTGGATCCGACATTATGAGAGCTCGATTTCATCCGCATTGACAGGTTAGATTCAATTAGATTTAGGGTATTCTGTATAAATGGGGGAGTCAAAATGCAGTAATGTTAATGGGCTGGATGCTAACCAAATGATAGGCCGTGGGTTCATCCGTGTCCGTGGGTGCTGCGTAGACCTCGAGGGCGTACTCTCCTGGTTCCGGCAAGTAAGCATTCAGGACGGACATGGGAACACACGGGCCAGTGCCAGTGAGCACAGATACCCCTGTGGTGGGCAGAGAGGCCTCAATATCACGCAAGAGAATACAGTCTTCCATCTCCTCCGCTTTAACCGACACCGACCGAAGACGGGCCGTCAAACGCGGAATCTTGCCATCCTAGATAACACACAAAGATTAACTTAGTAGGATACCCAAATAAATGTTAAGAATACGAAGAGGTAAAACAATTTTTAAACGATTCACCGCCCAAATCCTAGAAAACAAAGTCTTCAGAGATGTGTAACAAATTGCCGTTTTGCCCTTACAAGGCTAAAACTATGAAAAACGTCATTTTTAAAAAATAATTCGTGTTTTTTATTGTCGCGGAAGTCATCTATTTTATTTTCATCAGTGCCTACTATAATGCATAAGATCGCCTTTATAAGAATACGAAAGTACAAGTAACATGTCATAAAATTGTCAGCGTTGAGGTTATAATTAATCCTTGTAAAGAATATATATTCCCAGAAGTATATGAGTACGTGTAAGTTTTAGGGAAGGAATTTATTATCAAATACAACTTAGTATTTTCAGATCCTCTTTAAGTTAATGAGGCCGGCATTCATTCGATGGAAAATCTAGCCTAGTGTCAATTTAATTTCGTATCAAACGCCATTCACATAGGCGTCCGTTAGAAAAAGCCTTATATATTGCACTGCTGTCTAAACCTTCAGTCATTCGCTATAAGCGGTTTTGGTTTTGAGGCAGTATTTTACACAGCAAAAATAAAGATATGTAGGGGTTTGACAAATTTTTTCAGAAGGGTTGACTGCTTATAGTTCTTTATTTGTCCTTAGTCTCTTGTCATGGCAAAGCGGGATTTAGGCTTTCGCTGAATAGACATTCCAAGTTTGAACAAGAATATCTTTTCTACTTGCTTTAAACAGAACCAAAAATTTAACTTTTTAAGATTTGACATCCTAATAGGAGTACTGCTTTCTAAGTGTTCAAATAAAACTAGAAACAGTTTTAACGACTCACTGGTTCGCTGGCGATGAAGCGTAATTCCACGAAACCTTTTGGACTCTTAAGAAAGGGATGCAGTTGACGGGGCAAGGTTTCCAGACCATACTCAACGGCCTTTTCGGTCGGCCCATAACTAGTCTGTGCGGTCGGCGGGAAGGGCAAGGCAACCGGACCTTCTCCACCCTTTGAGCTAACGCGATATTCACACACGTCAGAGAAGAGCTATATTTGATTTTTGAACAAATTAATAAATTATAAGCATTGTAAGATAAACCAAGTAAGGACCAGTTAATTAGAACAAATACACCACTACATTGCTAGTATCTTTAGCAAAATGATTCAAAATCAAGGAAAAACTAAAAATTTATTTTATAACATTAGGTTCTTGCTCAAAACACATGGTGACATCAATTACCAGCACGCATCTAATGAAACTCTCCCACATAACCATGCAAATTACTTTTCATTCAAAGGCGTCCAAAGTTCATATATTTTTTCTCAGCTCTGACTGAGAACTTGGTATTTCGATTGACTTTAAATCCTAGGGGATGTCGGCTTGAAACCTTAAAAGCACAATCTACCTCCAAGGCTGTCTTAATAAAAAAATTCTTACTTAGTGATTATTCGATAGGTGACTGCGCAAAACGAGCTTACCTGTTCACCTGTATGTCGGGTGTAGATGACAAGGTTATATTCGCCCTTCTTTGGTAAACGGAAGTGGAAGATAACGCAGGCTTCCTCTGGCGAAACCTCGTGGATGCCAAAGCGGGTCTGATTAGCTCCCTAGAAAGTTAAATTTTTAAATGTTGTAAAGGGTGGTGTTACGCATTCCCGGGAACTTTTCATTGTCCAGGTGGTTAAAATCCACAAAACGGAACTAGCCTATAAGACAAACCCACTTAATTTCCTGTTTTCAAAGATCCTTCTTAAAAGGTAAGATGTCTAACTGGTTATGAGGCAATATTTGATGGCTGCCACTGCCAATTTAAGTCTACGCGTGCCCACCATAGACATCACTTACCCTAAAAGATGGCTGGTGTGCTCGTTTAAAAACTGCTTTGGTGGAAATTGAGCCCACCTTAAGCAGGCCTACAATCAATGTCACTTTCGAATGAACCTGCCCGCTACACTACACCCGACAACATCAGACAGCCGGCAACTGTTAAATCAAAATGGTCACGCTGGTTGCTCTTTGCTACCATTCTTTATATTGAGCGTTTGCTGCATTGGGGACTACTAGGAAAGGCCGCTGTGCCATATTTTGATTGAAAAGCACAAACACCACAAGCAAGCTCTATTTCCTATGCGGTTTAGTCGGTCGGTAAATACTTCTCAAAGTTTCACTTTTTCTATCGATTTCTGTTTAGCCCGTCAAGTCACCCCCCTTCTGTCTGAATAGGCTCAACTTAGTGCTGCATTTTGTGTCCTTAGATTTATTTGTGTCCTGATTGGTTTACTTTGATGAAGGAAACTAGCAGTTTTACCGTCAATACCGCAAACAAGTTAGGACAGGCTACGCCTCCTAAACACACGACGACTTTAGAGAGCTGGTTTACATGTCGTAGATCATGCGATTTCGCAGCGCGAGTTTTGTTCTTTCGTTGAAGGATAATCAACAGACTTTTAAAAGGCAATCGTTTCTAAAGGCTCTACCTCATGCTCAATTCAGCCACAACCACTTAATGGTTCCTTTTTGTGCATCGAATTTTGCCTAATTCATTCTGATTTTACCCATATGTTATAAAAGGCAAGCAAGCTTATCACTCCCTGCCGATGGCTGCACGCATTATATTTTATTACAACTTTTTTTCCTGAATCACTTGGACGCAATTCACCTCTTTCTTCGCTCCGCACTTTTATAGAAGGCTTAATCACCTAAGGCCGGATTTAAGACTGCCAAATTTATGAGGCAATGTACACCATCTACATCTGAGCTGTCCTCTTTGCGATGGGCAGATGTTGCAGTACTGTTGTTTCGGTTTGTTTAGTCTTTCTAGAATGTCGCATGAATAGTAGCTGGAACGCTTAATAAGACAATACAAACGGTCACTTCTGATCGCCAATGATCTTAGTACGCAGAAAGCAGTCTATCTGTCCTACAGTCGTTACTTCAGTACTGCAGGTGGCCAGTAGCCGGACACGCCGGTATGAGTGCCAAACCATCGGTAGTCTAGTGGTGTACCATAGGTTAAATAAAGTGAATAAGCGCCTGAGTACTGAATTAAAAGGGGTGATGTGCACGAGAGGATCAAAATTGACTCCGGAAGGCGACCGAATGACTTCGTGAAGTCTTTATCAGTGCGTAGATTTGCAGATATCCTGGTGAATTCCGAGGTGCAGGGCATCCAATATCTATAGGTAAAGACCGCATGTACTGATTTGCAACCAAAAAGACCCTCACAATTTATCGCGGCTCCGAGCGAGTGTGAAGCTACAGTTGTCAAGGCGGTCTGTACTTCAATCTGGACGGAAACAATAGCGCCAACAAGGAGGCTATGATTCACACCAATGCAGAAACCGACAATAACTTCAACCCGCCACATGTTCTCTTAGGTCAGAAGTCACTTAAGGGAGCTGAAAGATGGTGGCAGTTGTGATCATCATTCTGAATCATTAGATAAAAACGTATTCATTAACAAATCGCCACCACGTCCGAGAAAACTGCTGATTATTGCGAATCACCCTGTAATCACATCCTTTGTCGTTAGAGTATGGCCTGTCTACACTTTGAGTTCGCAAACGTACGACGCCAGGTTTTTTGTTAGTACTGGCCAAGTTACATGTTTCAGTACTAAAGTGCTGGTCTCTGTTAACGGTTCGTCAGACCTGATGTCAATCAAGCATATTTTGGAAGGGATTGCGAAAATTCCCATAGCAATATTCAAAAGACCAGTTGGTGGGTATACGTTTGCTTCGATAAATCCTACTCCGGCCGGTATATTTAGGTGGGAACAGGGTAGAAGCAAAACATGCCAGTGACTACAGAAATCAATTTTCGTAACTCCAAAGCAGTCCACAGATTCTGCGCTTTTAAAGGTACTTGATGGATACCCACGCTTCAACACCTAGCTCGTGAAGGCAAAAGTACTCGCGAAGTTTAGCGGGGACTGAATTAAGAGAAACGAGTATCCAAACCATTGTTGGAAAGCGCTGCGACATAGTCGCATAGTTTTTACCACAGAAACCCTGAAAAGACGCCCTAAAAGAAAACTGGAAGATACCCTCGTAACGAGGGGAGAACCTGAGCGTCACGTACGTCAACGTGCAGCCATTCCTGGCACCCTGACCGAGAATGAAAGACAAGGATTCGGCAGCTACACGCAAACCATTGGAAGAAAACGCAAAGAAGCAAGGAGTTCTACGCTTCTTAAAAAGTGTGCATGAAGTGAAACCGCAATCACGGCCTTCAAAGGATCTAGGCCGGTACGTATACAATTAATCTTATATGACACTTGATAAAACATCGCTTCCATTATCCTTTGGTCGCAGGTTTTGCATGCCTCGTCGAAAAGTTAGTGCGTTAGAATCAGAAACTCAATTCGAGAACTTCTAGAACCGAACCTACGGTCCACTGCCAGCTTCCAGAGATAGTATCCAACATGTAAGATCAACACTAGTAATTTTCAGTTCTCAGTACCTTAATAAGGGACTAAGGGTTCGGGGATTGCTGACAGGCGTCGTTATAATGAACAGGTCGGATTGTACAGCGAAGACATAGTCCAAATTATCAGACCGGAAGAATTTCAGGAAGGCAGACAAAGAAGATGATTGTACAGATGAAATAGAGGCAAAACTGACTGAATGCCCAAAAAGTCTCCAGGCAACGAGGTTTTATGAGCGATCGCAACCTCTTGCGACCAGTCCGCCCAAGTATTCCTTGACTGCATGGCCTACCTAAGATCCGTAAGCACACCCTGCCAGCCCGTCCGAATTTTAAACATGCGAAACTCCCCGTATCATCTGATCTGGACAATACGCGTACTTCAACAGTTTTGTGCTCCCCCAACAAGGACAGAATCTGGTCCGGTGTTTAGCGCAAAGGTCAGAAAAATTTATCGTGCAGATCGCACCGAGGAGGAGCTTGGAAAGACTCAGGACTTGCTTCGCGAAAACGGGTATCCCGACAAGTTTATCGCAAAGAATATTTCTGAGCGAGCGGAAAATCCACCACACTGACTGTCTAAAAGAAAACGCTGTTCTTCAAAGTTCTGTTTTTAAGAGGACGATTCGACCGAACTCCTAAGAAGACTCTTTGCTCAACCTGTTTCCCGGTTGTGAGAGTTCGAAATCTATGTTTGACTAACCCTACTTTACGCCGAGAAATTAAGCATAGGTTGTCAACCCAAACCACATCAATATGCACCTGCTCGTTTACTTGCTCCTGCGGGCAGGTTATTTTAGTCGCACGAGTCGGCGCCTATAAAAGAGAAGACGATAACTGCTCCCGGCATGGCTGGGAAAGGGCCAAACTAGGAACATAAACAGCGCCGTTCTCGCGCATGTTGTTGATCAAGGCCATCGAGTGATTTATAAGGCTCCATCTAGGTACCCTAAGCCACTGTGCCAGCGCGTGTTAGCAACAGCAGAAGTGCCCACCACCAGGCTACGAATACCGATCTTGTGCGCGCAGAAGAACCATGTTCAGGCTCCGCACCTACTTTGGTCAAAGGTCGACTAACCCTACACCTTTCCGCGCCCTCCCGCTCTCACCCCGTCCGTGGAATTTACTGCTACTACCTCCCAGCCCCATATTTCCACACCCCGCCCGTGTTTAAAGACTCCTCTCATTACTGAAATGTTTTACCCCTACCCCATTCCCATATAAATATACTGGCTGGAGAATTTGTTGAACTTAAATGCTTGATCGCCAACTGGTCTTCTGAATATGTATAAGTCGTCATTCACTAAACTTAGCATTAACATGTATTTGGGTCATCTGTGATGCATAGTTGAGGTATCTGCGGTTATTATAGCGGTTATTATTAAGCTTGCATTTCAACCGCAAACCCAAACAATTACTAGGCTTCTCTGCCTTCGATAACCTAGCTGGCCAAAATAGCAGAAAATGATCCAATTCACGTGACTCAATTGTCAAAACCTCAGCTACCTCGATGATATTCGAACCCAGGAAAGCAAGGAAAAGGCGTGTGCACAGCCAACGCTTCAACCGTCTGAGCTGCGTCGCGGTTGGCTGGGCGAGCAAGATGACCCAAATGTAGTTAAGCGCATGGCTCCAGGTTGGGCCATTGCAACACAGGTGGTTAAAGCGTTGGCTGTATTCAAATTTTGTCCTTTCCGTCGTGGGTTTGAATCCCACCGAGGCAGCATATTTTGTCCGCAATATGGTCGAACGATCTATTCAAATCCGCTAAGAATATCTAGTCAAATGATCTATGCTGGTCATACGGGTAACTGTATGGTCAAAACGACTGTTAGTACCAATATTTAGAACGAGACTACTCTGAATACGCATATCCTGACAGTTCATCTTGGCGGGTCCAAACAGCTGCGTGAATATAAAGAAATACTCAGCTTCCTTCCAGACAAGGGTTTCAGCCTTGTAGTAATGTACAAAGGTGGATGATCCTTTGATGATTGTGTCAGTCTTCGCTGAAGTATTTCAAATAGAAGGCAGAAGAAGAAGAAAACGCGGAAGTGTAAGCCCATTGCACGAAATGATTTCAGATTATAAAAAAAACTAAATTTCCTTTCGAAGAAGAATTTCAGTCACTTGGGCCCTCTAGCACAAGCATTCCGAGACTTCGTGGTTTGTGCGGCATTCACGAACTTGCATTCCTGTACGCAATTGCTAACTGACTGGTCGAGGCAATTGGGCCAACGCGATGAATTGCCACCGCATGGCTTATGCAACACACCTGAAATCGAGGCTTCCAATCAAAGTACAATATTACGTGTAGGGGGTCTCGACTGTTTTCTCTAGCATTCCCCTCACGATTTAAATAAAGTATTCATGGGACAAAAGTGCTAGACAGGATTTCCTTGTTGCTACACGTTTTGTCTGTAGAATGATTGTTCAGTTCAGGTATGAAGGGGTATGGCCAACAAAATTCTCGTTACAACGATCACCTCATTTTCTGAATTCGAAAAGTATCGTTTCACTCAGTTGCACAACATCGCGGTCTCTTTGTTCGCTATTTTGATGACATTTTCACAATAGCGGATGCTAAGCCTGATACAGACGACATACCTGAGTCAAGTCTTGCTGCGTGAACATTACTGGGGAGTGTCCGTTCATTCTGAAAGCCCTCTAGAAACCATTCGTAAAAGCTTCTCACGCAAAAAAGGTAAACGCACAACAAGAACGTTTTTATAGTTTTGTCTCAGTAAGTTGGAGTCGAAGTATGACCAGCAACCTAGCCAACTGATATGAAAGAATATCGCTTGCACATACGTTAGACAGAGAATTCGCCTTCTAGAGAAACGCAATATAGGAAAATGCTTTATCCAAAAGTTTATCATATGATAATTGGAGACTTTGAGCCTCCTACCACTGCCGAAAAACGATAAAGTTCAAACGCGTCCCAATAACAAACTTTACATACTCCCCGAACTCAGCACCACATAATTATTTCCCCTTTACTTTTCATGCCCAGACTTTCTCCAACGCTCTGTAATGTTCCTTGTTATAATTGATTTCCTCCTTCACTGAGCTACCCTGCTGGATATTACCATTCAGACCTCTTGATGAATAATTCAATAGGCCCGATTGATGACCCGGACTTTTTGAGGATAGTGAAGAGACGATTCATCCTTTGCAATTAGAATAACAGTTTGTCTATAGCCTTGGTAAGTTCCTCCACAAGGACTGCAACCATAACAGAAATTAGAAATCAGCTTCTTGTAGGTAAGTATGCAGAATAGGCGTTGAGCGTTTTCACACACACGTAGCAACGGCCAATGTTTCGATTAGGATGCTAAGTAATTTTCTGACGAGCTAATAAATTATACAAGGGCGATACAAACGTAGCACGCCCGAGGAAGTGTGTTCAGTCCGTATTTGTTCACGCAGTTCCACCGTATGTCATTCCATGGACAGCAGACAGGTAGGAGTTCTAATTGCACGCTAATCGTTTTAGAAGTTTTAAATTAACTCAAAATTTGTTTTAGTCCGGCATGCAAGGTATTTCATTATAAGAAAACAAACCTGGAAGGCATCTTAACAGTAAACATTGTTATGTCTCCATGTACTGTTCTTTTAAAATAATTAAAAATCCTAATAAGCAATATTAATCAGTCAACCCTTTTTGTTTATGGATCGCATCCAACTCCTATGACAGTTTTTACCCTTGTGTATTCTGGTTGAACCCTCACTCACCACTGTCCTCCGGCCACCAGCCCATAAGGGCAAGTCCTCTCATTCATTTAGTCTAAAATAGGTAATTACTGTCAAGGCCAAATCAGAAGAAAATACTGAAGTTTGCATGATTAACTTGTTGGTCATCAACACGATAGAACGCAAAACACTTAAAAATGAGGATATGCTGTGACAGAACTGTGTAGTTGTTTGCTAAACGCCCCTCCTTTTTCAAAAAAACAAGCGGTAGATTAAGCTGTTGACGTACTTTTACTGATGAAGTGAGTTAACCTACCGTATTTACTCTCCTGAAGATAAAGAAGTTACCTCACTAGTCTGCAGTTACGGATATTTTGTATAATACGAAATTGTAAACTAGGAGCATTTAAGTAGTAGTCCCCACCGGACACCTCCAAAACGACCTCATCTTAAAAAATGTCCATCATTCACAGACTGCTGCTTCATTGAACCCAAAGGAAATGGCTTATTGACACTAGAGTTAAAGGTTCCTAAGGTCATAGTAAACTGCCAGATCGCAATTATAAGCATGATTCCACGTAAAAAGATCCTTACATCAGATACATTTAAATGACTTGTGCACCGCTAAAACTTGCTCTAAAGATCTATAATGCCTGCATCGCCTGAAAGAACCCAGCAACACATTCGTTATCACCCAAAACTCAAGTCAGTGGAATATTACGACGAAAAATAGCGACTCTCTAATGAGCGTCCGTTACTCTTTTCCGAGGGATGACTAATTCGTCGGAAGCTGATGTTAACGCTGGGGTTTGGAACAGCATTGCACTAAGCAATCGTGGTCTGTGGAAGGTTTAAAGAGAACGGTGAATAATAAAAAGCTACACCAAGGTAACACTTCCAGGGGTTTTCCGAGTATGGCATGACCGTTCAAGAGGAATTGCCGACTAGATATGTATGACCAACAAAAGAATTGGAATTGTATTAATGAATAGCTGTGGAAAACGCGAACTTATTTGCGGTCGGGTAAGTGCCCATGGAATGGAGGACAACAAAGACGACTCACCAATAGGCATTCAGTAAGAATGAACTGCTGGTAGTTGAGAATTGACCACTAAAATAACTTGAACGGGGAACCATTGAGATCCTAAAATTTTGTTCAGATTGGCAACGTTGGCCTTGAAAACCTTGTCTTTAACTGAAACACTTAGACTCACGAATGACATTTAATGGGTGGAGCGTTTGGGCAAGTGACAGCGCTATCCGATTATATGTAAATTGTCGTCTACCCCAACTTGGACACCTGTTCTGTTTGCCACAACTTCCTTCTTCCGCAGCCAATCTTCTTCATGTCATTTTTCGAAAAAATGAACACCCACTCAGCAATAAATTTTCGTTACCCTCGTTATAATAAAACACGTGCGTTCAGAAAAAGATATGCGGAACTCATGGAATAAGGAACCATTGGCATGAAGTGTACATTCATGTTTGCGTTTTTTTGCTTTAATGTGACTGAGGCAAAGCAGCCATTTTTGCAAATTCAAAGGGTTTCCTAATTTGTCTATTTCATTCTCTGTTCCTAAAAAGCGCCTAGACTGCAAAATGCGTCAGTCGTTTTTGTTTCTTTTTGCTGTTTTCCTTACAGTATTATCACACTGTTTTTTCTCTTCAGTGAGCTTCAAAGCCAGCGCCATGCCTGCAAAATAGACTGTTCATCCCCTTATTTTTCAGTTAAAGCAACATCTGAGCACACATCTGCGCAAATGTCATCGTTTGAAGAGAAGTCTGTGAAAACACAGAATCATCTCACACCTATATGCAGCTTCACAAGCGTACAGAGAATCACGACAGCATCCAACCATCAATCTGTGTACACGGTCACAGAGAAACCCTATCCAACTACTGTATGGTCACGGGGCGATGTTCGTTTCTTAAAACGAATTTGGTGGAAGGATTCTCTGGGAGGACTGATTTTGCGTGCAAATACAGGCGTGGCCGTGACTGTTTCGTCGAGAAAGCGTGGTAAATCTCTGCCAGCACGTACGCGAATGAACACGCAAAACGGTAGGGTGAATCATCGACATATTGAGGAATTTTAAGGGTTTTCTATTCGCCAGTTATGCGTGTACGTGCGTGGTATAGGGTGCTGTAGTTGCACATAATGAAAGCAAGTTGGTCAAGTTGGATATTTGGGTATGGAAAGCGGACTGGCAAGTGGGTTTGCGCCCGCAGTCTTCGGTTTCAAACCCAAAAGTCTTTTCTTCGGCTGTCACTTCCAATGTTTTCTGCCACCTTACATACTGACTGCTCGACCTTCTTGACCGACTGCGCCCACTGTATGGTCCACAAAGGGTGAGGGCAGGGGCGATGACTGGAGCAGGGTTTCTTTTAAAATGATAGCAGAATTGCGCTGCATCGCCCGCACTCCCTCCTCCACTCTCAGGGTCTGGTGCCAAGGCGTAGCCAAGAAAACCTGAGGCGGGTGGGGGCGCAAGCGGCTGTACACGCACTGAAGGGTACCAGCACACTCTCCTGTCCACAACAAAGACATGAGTAGGATTTTAACCAAAAACAACACCAAGAGCATCGACTGGCGTGACCGGAGCCGGCCGTAGTCGTGTCTCCACACCCTTGGCGCTTAGTCCCTGGCTATCTTACGCTAATTAATAATTACGCACAATTTAATCCTTTAATTCATAAAGCAAAATGGACTGACTCGCGGTAGTTACCACGCCAAGCCCATAATAGGTGCGTCCGTTTAGAAACAGCCAGTCACTCTAAATGGCATATCAAAGGCCCAAAGCCATCAGAGCCTCCGTAGCTTTCCTTAGTTGAATGTTTATGCTCCTTCTATGTAGATTAAACAGGATTTGGAATTTTTAAGGCTTATTGGTCTAATTGTATGAAGGCGTTCCAAAATAAGGCACAGACGAATTTTTTAAAATAGGGAACACTTACTGGTGTTTATCTAACAATTAGCTTATATTTCAGCCAATTGTGTTTCGAGAGCAGTTCTTTGTAAAATGTCCAGCAAAACTTTGAGAGATTCAGGAAACAAAGTTTCTAATTGGAGAAACAATAAGGTATTTATGAAGCAGAGTATTTCTCTCGAGGATATTGTTCTCAGATATCATTTTTATCACCTGACACTTCATTCTGTCTCCGTTCTATCAAGTGATGCGCCATCATTAGAACGGAGAGCAAGAGAAAATATCGAAAATAGACTTAAGAACATCCACTAAAGATGGTCTGAAAATGGGTCTACCCTACGAAGTACTGATAAACTACCGGACCAAACCGTTCGTTAGATTTTTTTATTACCATTCGGCGGAGTGGCTACTATGAAATCATGTAATCCGTTGCCCATAGCCTTACTGCTATCCATTTAGAAGCTACAACCTTATACAACGGCAGAGCAGCGTAAAACTAGCGTGCTTAACGAGTGCACTGCTAAGACGCGGGAACAGGCGCCCTTGCATACAGGTGGCCTTGCGTTAAATTCCAGGAAGGGTATCTATTCTCGTTGCCTAATTATATCATTTACCCTAACCATATTCATCCTTGTATTAAGCACATGGTTACATGCATTTAACGGGATCTCTATATTCCTATACTTCTTCACTCAGACTACTCAGACAATTTACCAGATTTATACTTGTGTATGCTAGTGAAGAACTACTAAATGTAATGCACATTTGTTTGCCTACGCGGAAAAGATCCAGTTGCAATTTTCACTATGAAGTAGATAAAGATAAACTGAAAGTGTACACATATATTCACACAGCGATGGACACACACCGACTCATCGGCTTACCGAAGTCAATAATTCCAAAAAGTGTGATGGGGCCCACAAAGAGTTAACCGCCTGTCAGAAGAAAATCAGGGAGACCTTAACAGCTGCAGGATGGTGACTGAATAAGGGGTGTTTATGTCAGTCTACTTTCATTCTCTGCGCCGCCCCACTTTTTGCAGTTCTTTAGTCAAGTTCCGCAACCAGACTGGTTCTTGCCAGGATGAAGGTACTGTACTCATAAAAATGCCTAGCATTCTTCAAAATGGAAGTCCGATTTAAGTGCACCCATAAACTGTGTGACTAGACCCCCTTACTATATCACCCCTTAAACGTGTCCTGTTTCACTCAAGGTACTTAATGATGTTTTGATGTATTTGGTGATCTAGAGTACTGCGTCGTTCCTAGCCTTAATTTAGAATTTCTTAAAAATTATCCACCTAAGGACAACTTTTTTAATTATTTTCTCACGGAGTGCACACTGGCCCTTATTTCATTGGTACCACGAACGCCTTGGGATTTAAAATAAAGATACAAGGTTGAGTCGTCTGTTGTAGACGGTCTGGTAGATTACCTACAATAAACTTCCCTCAGAGAGTTGAACAACCATCGTTGTAGACACCTGAGTTTTATTTTTTATTGTTCTACTTAACTTTGGCTGCTAATTCCAGTGCACTAAAATGTTTCCGTCCGAAAATCGAATTTACCAATTGTCTATACTGATTATGCCATTCGCCTATGCATGCATAGGCCCGCCCGAAAAACCCCGAGCACCACCTTTCCCGTAAGACAGGCACCTTTGGCTGTTCGTGTGTGTTTGGGGTTCTACACCCGACCGTTGCCAAAATAAATTATAAGAAATTTGTATCCCCACAATGGAATTGTTGATAGAAACCATAGCTACCGATGATCCCGGAAATTTGAAGCACCTCTGTGTTTGCACTGTCTTTGAATATATTTCAAATTGCACTCAGACTCAAACCTGATATTTATTTCGAATTAACATCTTTATTGTGACCAAAAACGTCGAAATTAATCTTGCGGTTTTTGGTGTGTAGAACCACCCCATCTTATCCATAACTACGTGACCGTCATACTCTTAGTTTCTTAAAGGACATTAAAGGCGATTTTTTTACTAATAATTCTTTTTTTTAAATTTAAAGCCCAGCAATGAACTGAATTGGCGCAGCTCCCACTGAAGTTAATACATAACACAAATATCTCAGGTTAACAACGGTCCCTGAAGGGCATGTTGAATGGGGGATTAACTTGACAGTGAGCGTCTTAAGAAAGGGAACAGTAGATAGAATAAGCCGTTTTATTTCTGCCACCCAAACTGAGCCACTGTCTGTATGTTTGTTTACGGTGCTCTGAGGCTCTACTTGAACTGTTATTTAGAACGCATTGATAGTCAACGTGATCTGAAGAAGCTTGTCTATCTCAAATATGCCGGCCAAAATTATGATGTGTTTTCAATCGAAAATAAGTATTAAGGTGGGGTTGTAAGATTGTTTATCACATACCATAATTCTAGTGAATTTCAGTCACCTCAGTATTCCAATGTTTTGAGTGAACTCCTTTACGCCCGTCGACTAAAACCACGCTCGTAAAATGTGATTACTTACATAATACGGCTTTTACATTGATTTTCGATGCTCTCATATTACGGTTGCCCGAAAATTAATGGCTTTTTACATCATTATAAAATATGAGTCAATCAGATGTTGTATCTCTGCTGACCGATTTCCTCATCACTTTCTATTCGGCTTTTAAATGACAATGTCACCGCAATATTCACGAGACTACTGAGTCGGATCCATGTTACCCACTAGTGTGTCAGGTTCAACTATCCACGAACATCTTCAGGGAATTGAGAAAATGCCAATAGGGAATTTTGATTCCGCTCGAGATCTCGCTTGATATTCGAACCCACATTTTAACATCTACAGCCGTCTTCCATCGAGGAATAACATCTTGTCATTTCCACATCGCATTACTGTGTGTGATAGAAAATGTGTTCTGTATCATTACAGGGAACGAAAGGTCAGTGGTAACCGTAGGCAAGTGTAAAATCCAAAACCAGAGCTTACTTTTGTATTTTATGAAACATGAAATGTACCATTCCTTGTGAAATACCGGAATGTGAAAGAGCCGTTAGTGCAGATATATGTTACAAACAACCGGATCCTGTGCAAAAAGCACGCCCAAAGTGCCCTGCATTTGTAAACGGAGGTAATTTTTATTTAATTATTTAGCATGGCAATGCAAGGTCACAGGCCGCAAACAAACCTAGATAAAATAATATCTTTAGAATGGGAGGTTCTGTCACATCTCACATACTCAACTAACGTAACATTTGCGGAATTCTAGTCGTCTCGATCATTAGAACGCTTTTGGTAAACAATAATTCAAAGACGAAGGGACCTTAATAATGATTCTTCAGAATTTTTTTGGAAAAAAGGTAGATTTTTTTTACCTGGTATTAAACAATTTTCTGATTGTCGGGCAGCTTTTTTGAAAAACGATGGTGAACCCAATTTGGATTCAAACTGCTCAGAAAAAAATTACTTACACTTGTTTTATAACCTTTTGGTGAACCGCAGCTATTATCCGAACAACCTACTGTATTTAAGCCTATTTTAGTGAAAGTTTCGTTTTTGTACTTCATTGGTAACGAACTGCATCTCCAATTTTCGAATTTGGCCTATATTTTCACTTACGCCCAGAGTCCACAAACCTCCTGACGTATACTTTCCCTGTAAGTAAAGTCACTTATGATAAGAAAATGCAAACAGTCAGGTCACAGTTTACCCAACGAAACCTAAATCATCGCCAGGGCTACTGACTATGGAAGGCGCGAGCTGCCCAATTCATTGTTTCTGGCCTCGAAGTTCATCAGGAACCGCAGCGATTCTCCCCATCGTTTTCCTCGAAGAGCAGTTAGTCCTCGGCCGTTAGTCACTTGGATGCAGTTGAAGAAGTTAACTTTGCATCGTGTCCGGACACGTGGGATGAATACACAGGCGTTAGTGCTAGCGATGTGCGTTTATCGATCAACGGCCACCTGTAAATCTTGTTCTGTGTTTTTCTGCTGCATTTATCCGTCGCACTCTCGGGTGAAACATTAGAGAGCCAACCCCGAACTTCAGCTGAATCACTTCTTATTTCTGATAATCGAACTTTCGTTTAAGCGTTTTCGGACTCACAGCCCTCCGTGTGCAATAGCAAAAATCAGATAATACGCAAAACTGCAGATTAACGTACTAAGGTTGCAAACTGTGAACGAGGAAGCCATTAGATGTCTTCTTACACTTTAAATATTCGTTGTTCTCATAGTTTATATCTTTACTGTCAGCATTACTTTAACCTCAGTAATTCTTTCGACGTTTTGACTTGCTCGTGCTATTAGCTCTAGAAGGGGAAAATAGTCGCCAAAGCCAGTAAATACTAAATGTTTGTGGAATGCTAACTTTTGTCTCTAATCTTGGGCGTTTCGACGTAAGATTTTTCGCAGTAAATACGGCCATCTGCGTTATAGTTTGATTGATTAGAAAATCGCATTAATCGTTAAAAAATAATTAAATGTTGACAGATGAACATGCGTCTGTTTGCCAAGCCGGACCCATGCGTAACTCAATATTTTGCAACTGTTCAGCCACTTATTACATAAATTGCAGTAAAAAGGAAAGCTGAATGAATAAAAGGATTCTTACGGAATCAATATTGCCGAAGCCTTCGAGATTTAGCTGGTAAGTGAACATCAGTTTGCCCACTGATTCCGGTTGCATTTTTAGCTTGACAACAAGATTCGTTTCTGCTGGGATATAGCCTTCCTGGTGAGAGAGAAAACTGAGACCGTATTGGAAGAATGCCGGTTTTACCAGAGGCCATTCCGCGAAATTCTGCAGGGGAAACAAAACGTTTTGCAACGGTCAGCAATAGACCAATTCTATAATTAGTAAAATTGGATCATTTGAAACGTCGAATCCTAGTTGCTCCAAATTTATAGCCTGGTTATGTCGGACGCAGTGTCATTGCGATCTTATTTACTTCAAAGCACGAAACGTAAGATATGTAATTTTTAGGCGATGTAAATTCAGCTCAAAACTGTCCCTTAAATTCTAAACGAAAGCTAACGACGTTTCCGCACTTAGAAGAATTAGAGGAGATACCACCAAAGCTATTATGTATTCATTTATACCTAAGACAACCTGACCCTCATTTTCTTTTTTCTTTGGAAACACGGCAAATATAAGCAAGAAAATCGACCTTGAAATTGTATCAACTACATTTATCACTTAGGTCTTTCTTATTTTTAGAAAAATCGCTTTAAGTAATCTTTATGAAAAATATGAAAGATTTGCTATTATACGGTTTTGAGCGTTTGCAATTGAGTCCCCCTAACTGCTGGACATCCATAAAGTAAACATATTTTTAATGAATTTCCTGGTTTAAAAATCCGCACGGGACCGATGATAGTATTGCCAGCGGTCACAGACTTTATGAAGAAAATAAGTGGCGGCTGCACCCAATCAGCACACATGATGTTGATCAATGACAAAATTCTACACTACGTAATAAACCAATGTTGTTAAACCATGTTTTTAGTGAAAACTTGGTGAACTGCATTTGGTTAAAATAGGGCAGGTAACTACTATTATAACAAACAACTGAGTCAAGGTGTAGAGTGGCCGCGCTCGATTAATAGCTTGAACTGAAATGGGACGCAAACCATAAACGGGTGGCCTATAGACCACTTCTAATGTAATAAATATAGACAAAACGGGCACTTTTACCGATCAAGCCACTGATAATGATCTTGGGGGTCAGATGGCTGGTTGAGGTGGATAAAATATGTGCAAACCCCAAACGTTTTTCGGTAGAGTCAGTAACGTGATGCAGCAAGAAAGTGCCGTAGAGAGCAATTTTGCACTAGATTATGTATGTGTTTAGCATGCTACACATACGAGTACTAGGAAACGGGAAATATCAGTTTATTTTACCTTGGCACTGGCCAGGGACGAGAAAAAATGATGCCCTTTTTCCTTATTTTCACCCGAAATTTCTTCCGACAGCATAAAAAAGATTAAACTGTAACATGAGTTGAATGAATGAAACTACAATTAAAAGTTTGAGGCTTGCGAGTGTGATTCTTTTTTTATACGTAACGGTGTATTGGGAGATTTTGCTAGTTCTCGATAAGTAGCACAGCCGATATCGATAAACGCAATTCGCTACAGTAGCCGCAACTATCACCTTCACTGAAATATCCTCAGAAATACCAAGGGCCACTTACCATACACAACTTTCAGGAAACCCAAGGAAACACTCACGAGTTTACGAAAAGTTTGAAAAATTGAACCACATTAGTAAAGACGGCTTTGTTAAAATGCTTCGAACTAAAGAAATGAGAATTACTAATTGCCTACTTATCGCTCTTGAACGTGGGTTTAATTTCGTTGCGTTTTAACTATTTCTTTACTTTTTATTTTCCATAAGTACACTGTGGTATAAAAAAAGTGGGCGCGTACCATGTAGCCAATCTTGGGGTGAAAATTTAAAGGTATACCTGAGGTCTTCCGAATGTTCGCTTCCTTGGCTACAGACAAGGATATAATATAATTTCGGCGGATGAGGGATTTTTCATCTCTTGAATACATTCGGGTTTGACAAAGATAGTTTTATTTAAAAGCTTTCTCTTTCCAAAAAACCTATTTGGACTGGCTTTTAAATTGCAAGGTGTCATAATAGAGTTGGAGGGCTTTAAGAAGAAAATGGGTCAGCCGGATGCACCCGTGCAAATCCTAAGACCTCATAGTTACTGACTTCACGAAAGTCCTTAAATGAAATTTAAAACATATATTTAACCAGAAAGTCTCACTACGTCAATTCATTGCTCACGCAATGCTTGGCCGGCATAAATAATGAAACATTACGGTATTCATGTGGCCGGTTTCAAGTAAGTTTATTACCAATGATCCGAATAAGATAGATGAAACACAGTGCAGTATTGGGATAAATCGGTTATCGCAATACCATAATTGCTAATCTTATGAGCTTAGGTAGTCGAGGCGTCAAGTCGACGCACAGGTTCATCTTTTGGACGCTGTTTGTAGGTATGCAGGCCAACCGAGCGTTTTTCCGAAGTAATTTGCACCTAATCCTGCCCCACTGTACGCTCATGTTTACTTAGTTCATTCCGATTAGCAAAAGTCTGAAAGCCCCCATTAATTGCAATAACTAAATATGTGTAAATAACTATCCACGAACCAAACTAAGCAGTTGCCAAATCTTTTCGAATGTTATAACAAGGTAGAATAACGGAGATTGAAGAGGACAGCAGTAATGAAGGTAAAATATTAGTATGAAAGTTTTACAAAGAACGGCCTACAGGTTGTGATTTGCAAACGGTGGATTTTTAATTGAACATGTGTGAGAAAGCATGTGACTGCGAAACAGAAAAATAAAAATAGACGTTCAATGAAAGCGCAAAATTAAGCTCACACTGTTGAGATCTTTCAGCAAAAGTTAATTAACTGAGCAAAATGCCCCTATCAATTGACACAGTGGCATGTCGCTTGCCATAAACTACGACGATAAAAAATTACTTTGTCTCAATACTACGGCTAATCTTCCCATGCCAAAGCTGACATGCAGTTTCCACGATGTTCTAATAATCTTGCAAATACTGAGCTAGATAGTTATAACTTCTGCAAGAACGTAATAAAGCTGATGCACAAATGTCAATAGGTCATTTTAAGTTTACGTCAGACCAGATGCTTGTGACTGCCATTTGTACGCGGGTTGCCTCTGAGGCGAAAAATATGTTTGTGCATGCAATCCTACGTGTTTCGTGAACCGATCGCTGCTTGTTGTAATCCTTCTGGAAGAGCTGGTCTGCCTATTCATTTGTTCTTATTGGAAAGGGGTATTTTTAGCAAAACAACTAACAACACATGAAAGGTCAGGTTTCGCCTACGCTGAAAAGGTTGGCATAACGGTATATTTTGAAGAGAAACGATCGGTTGTTTTGCAGTGCATATTCAACTGCACGGGCACGTGAAAAATTCGTTATACAAAATGCTGATGTACTGAATCCGAGCCAAATTTTAGATCCGTAACGGCAATTTATGGGTGTCAAAGGCCTTTCAAGAAGTGTGCGCTGCCCAGCCCTTTTTAACCATTCCTTTTTACTAGTTGTTTAAGGTGACTGTTGTTCAACGAAAAGTCAATACCAAAAACAGACAGCTAAGGCTTTTACAGAGCTTGTTAATAGAAGCCTTCTTATCACTAAAAACCCCAGATAAATTACAGATAAATTTTTGCAATTAGAAACCGGAAAACAAATTTGGGTTTATTTTTAATTTTGATTTCCATCAAGGGCAACTAGCTGACTGCAAATTAAGCTGACTTTGGGCTACTGGAGATATTTTGCGCCTTTAAGGCGGTAGTGCTATAAATACAAAAATGGCCGTTCTTTAGTAACTCAGTGTCCGAACAGTAAATAGGGATATGCAACTTGACATTCAGTTAAGTCTACATTCTCATCTTGTCTAGCGGATTATTATATTTCTACATATCAGGGCACCCTATGTTTGTTGTAGCTAAAATTATTCAGTCGTAAGTGATAATTTTTTATACCTTTTCTCTTTTCAAAAGAAACTAAATGTTGATTCCCCTCATGATATTTTCAACGTGACCGGTATTGTCTCTTAAGCAAAACTCTTATGCACTGCGTATCAGTTTAAACTCGCCGCCAAGGATAAAGAGAATTCTTTAGGTTTTTTGTGTTCCATAATCAAACATTCACTCATGCGGTCCTGGTAAAGGTCTTGTCTTGTGCAGATAATCAAGTGAAATCTCCTTTCAATAGCGTTTTTAGGCAGGTTTTTGCAGCTATGATCGGCCACAGTGCACAGTGAAAAGTGCTACTTCTGACGTGCCTAAATTCGGTACTTATATTTTACCCATTGGTTGGCATGGCCTACGCTTTCGCAATATGACAGCTTTCATGTAAAATGTATGGGCGAAGCAACAGTGGAAAAAGCATTTTAATTGGCTGTGACAAGAAACTGTCAGCTAGTTTCCTTCAACGTTTGACAGTCGTGCACTATCTGGCATATCTCATAAAATGTTAGCGAAAATTTTAAAATGTTTTTTCGATTAGAAATGATTCCAGTTAACATTTAATGAGACAGAGCAAATACTGTTCCTGAAAATCTAAGGCAGCTACCTGCTACGAAGGCATTTTTTAGCATTAGGAATCAGGGCGTACTGCACGTGCTGTTCCCTGCGATTTTTCGTCGAATTCAGTTCTTACACATTATAATCATGCATATTTATTCTATTCCCATCTAGAGGTCAATAAAAGTATGACCTAGCAAAGAAAAGTATTTCGGCACGGATTTACTTGAAAAGGCACAAGATGGGGTTTCGGTCGTTTGGATTTTCGCATAGCTGACAGTCAAGGTTTTGAAATAACACTTATATGTCAAACCTGTCAATAATTTTTATCTTCAAAGTGTATTGCATTTCGGAGAACATTAAAGAGCATAGGGGGTTATGTATGTGAGATAAAAATTTGATGATCTGCTTGTAAAATGAAACATGCTTGATCTTTTGGTTTTTGGAAGCTCAGATCAAGAAACCCTGTAAAAACCAGTATAACGTTAGATAATGATACAAGATGTACAGGGTTCTGTCAGATGAATCACAAATAATTAATCAGGCCGGGTTGTATAGGCAATGTTCAATGTGAGAGAACTCCTGGGAGCGCAATAATGATTGAATTCGCTTGGACAAATTGCAAAAAATATACTCGATCGACAACTTTTGAGGATTACCCCAACTGTCGATCTGCGCATGCTTGTTCTTCTGGTCGAAAGTTAATGCCCAAACTTAACTTAGTTTAATAAACATTGGGACGAGACCAAAATAGCATTGTCTCAATTTACCCAATTTCTATCAGAAGCCTGAATTCTAACAGGCCTTGGCCGGGTTTGGTCTGAAAAGTTATTTCCTGTTTGTAATCATTGTCTCCACGTTTATGACCGGATGATCTGGGTGGCTAAGATCGTTGGGCAATCATAAGAACCATTGATTGGCAGGCCTACATGTTCAGAACTAGACAATCTTCCCTCATTCGGTGCGAAATTTATTTCCGCGCCTCATAGCATTTAAACCCTTTGGCTTCTTGTAGTTTTTATGGCCATACGCACGATTGACACTGCTAATAATTGCGTTCGCTGTCGTGTGTGCAGGTCTATTTTTGTCTTATGACAGCGAGGGTTGCCTTCTTGTGCTAGCCGTAAGGACAACTCTCATAAAATGTTTTAAAAAATGTCGGGATCCCTTTCAAAATAGAAAGACTTACTTAAGTAGTTTCCTGACCCCAGAAAATGTAAAGGAAAATCCCAACATATTTCAATTTTGATATGGTATCAGCTTTTAAATATAATTCTTCCGGCCGCTTGAATAGACCGCACCCAGTTAAAATGAATGTTAAGACACCAAGACTTTCTCTCTTAAGTTCCAATGTCATGCTAAATGCAAATATATGTTATTGAAAACGCACTCAAAAATACATTTATGTACTCATTTATTTTACATCATGTGTCCTTAGTTTTACACGAAAAAAGGGATTCTTTGGTTTTATAAATATCTGTTGTTATAAGGTTTTTAAGGATGCCAAATGTTTTATTTAAATATCATCCCATCTGTCCGACTGATGATGTTCCTTGTGAAATATACAGCATGGTCTACATTTCTGCAGACAGTTTCGAGCCCTACGTGGTATTCTAATAGCGACATAGTGGAATATCCGACTTTCCTTATATTTACAGTATGCGGTATATACTTTGTAAGGCCTAGACACAAATGCGGCAGCCGCCACATTAAAGTTTTCGGGAGTTCGGAGTTTATACTCGTTTTTAGGCATGCAGTTTGAAGAAGAAGTGACTATAAAAAATAAAAATTTTTCTGTGACCTATGTTATATGCTTGAATGTATAATGGCATAAATAATAACGGAAAACAGTGCACTACTTAGGCGGTCATTTCGACAAGTTTGCTTATTGCAGGAGGCCGAAAGAAACGTGTTTGAAGGGCCAACATCTTCGCGCAGCTAATATGCCGTGGGCTTATGCAGCACGATCATTAAAATTGTAATCCCACCTTAGTTATCTCTCCTAACCGAAAAATCGTTTTGCAACTTCCATTTGAATTTAATGAGACTGCCCACTGACTGTAGAGGACCCATAACTTTGTCTGAATCTCTTGCATTTATTCTTACTCATCGTTTGTGCTTGCCTATGATTATGTAGTAAGTGGGTGCAACGGCAACACCATTGCCATATCTGAGCTGAAGTGCGTCTGGTTGTATTTGAATGGAACGCCGAAATTTTGGGGGTTAGTCAGCTTTACCCAGTAATACATGAAGCATCCTATGCCTGTAAATGGTGCCGCAAAACCTTTGTCTCTCTTAATAACACACACAGCTGTCTGTTTTACGGCCAGGACGGTAACTTGTTGCCGAATGACGTACTTCCTTTTGACGGGCCCCCGGGTGTGCCCAAGATATGATCCGACCATGGCTACAAGGTTTACTGCTTTGATGTCCAAGGGGCTTAAACAAACTGGCTCTTCTGGAACGCGTATCGTCTTTCTGTATATAATCTCCGTCCTCCTCGCATGTCGTTCTCTATCCCATTTTGTGTTGTGTTTCTGAACTTACGAACCCGAAATCTAAGTCCTGATCTGCGCAGAAAAATTGTTTAGGAAAATATCAGTCTACTCCAATCACATAAGATACTCCCATTCAAAAAACGTTAGCACTTTTGCTTACCACGATTGAGACTGGAGGGTTCAGTAACTGCCAGCAGTCTTCGAAGGGGTAGTGGGTGTAAATGAGTTCCCGGGGATCGACTTTGTAGTAAAACATATCTGTCTCATACTGCAGGGTGGCAGCCGCCTTTGCCGTGACGCTGTTGGCGCTGGGCGTTGTGGTAATGTTTGGACTACGCAGAGCCAAACGTTGGGCTGCCCAGGTGCAGTCAAAGAGGTACCATGTGCCATCAAGACAGGCCGCATTCCAGGAATGCTGAAGACCAGAAATTAGCGGTGGCAGAGCGCCTGTCTCTGGATGGAAGAGGGGCTCGTTTGGCTGCAGCAGCGGCTGACCGACTTTGTAGTCCACGCTCTTGGCAATGCCGCGCACCGTTACGCAAGGAATACCCGAGTATCGGCACATCGATTCAAAGGCCTGTTAGAACAGCAACAGTCATAAAAAGATAAATATCACTTTATGCCAATAGAAAATGATCCTCTGGACGAGTGACCAGCACAAATATTGTCAGCAAAAAAACTTCTGAAGTCTCTTAGGTTTCAAAGGTCTTCACTTGCAAACGTACTGGGCGGTTAATCTTTAAAGGAGTCGATTGTATTTAAAGATCCACGGCCGTCTGCTGCCGGATGTTGTTGTAAAGCGAATATTCAGCAGCCATTTTATTCGCGTTAACTTCAACCGGCGTTTTTTACAACAGTCAATGGAACAATTAAGTTGAACTGTTTTCACATCCAAGTCAGCAAATGTTCTCTGTATAGCCAGTTGGCAAATAATAGCGCCCACACTAGTGGTGTGAAAGAGCATCTTTGCGAGTTATACACCGTACATTATTTCAAGAGCACTTTCTGCATGTCTGGTAAAAATTTGTAACAAATTACTCTAAAGAACATGTAAATGTCAACAGGGTGTGATTTATGGAGACATTTAGCATAAGCTAAATCAGCAAGTATTTTTCGCATTAAGAAGTATCAGTAAAAACTGACTTATTAAGCGAAATTCATGGCCATCAGTGTTTTACTGCCTTATTTAATCATCAAACACACATATATAGACATTATTCGGATAGAGATTTTTGGCTTTTTAAATGCCAAGTATAACTAGTCGATTCACTCTGTTCATAAAAATTAATTTTCGCCGGACTGCACATATGCCTTCGTAATAAAACCTCCCAGCAACGATGAATAGATCTACGTTAGTGGATGCAAATAGGAATTATCTTCTTATATTCTCAGAAAACGTCCAATGAAACATGCATCTTGGATACGCATTCATTTCGGTTAGGATGAAATTTGGTTTCCGCACTACGATGCTGTGAATTATCGTTAGACCATATTTGAGGTTGTCTCAAGCTGCCCCTAGAAAGATGAAAAGGTTGCAACTTTGTTACTCGATAACCGAAAACTTGTGCACATTCCGAAAGAAGCTCATAATTTTTATTATAATGTATTTAGAGCACTTTAATAAAGACATAAAAATTTCCAAATTTACGGTTATGTGAGAGTGTGTCTGTTTACTACAGTAACTGGAGAAGCCTGAAATGAAACTTCCAACCTTTAAAACTGCCAGGAAATCCTTGCTGCTGGTCCGAAGTTACGGAATTCTAAAAGGCTTGTTGTAAACGGCTAAATTAATTAAACTAGCGATCTATTAGTTTTAGAATAGGATTGATCAACTGGATTCGGATCCTGTTGTTCTACTTTTTTTGTGAACGCTGGCCTTACCTATGTGTAGATTCATAAACAGTTTAAGGCATAGTATTCCACACTGGCGTAGATTGACGGTACGCGTGTCCGACCACAAAACGTAGTAATAGTAGTATTCGAAATGTATACATGTCTGAGATTTTGCTCTCCCATCCGTTGGTCATGCAGCGGCAAATTCCGGCAGGGTTACCTGTTTGCTAGCAAAATTTATCGTTCGGTGACGTTTGGCTTCTTTGATGATCCTTTTTAAAAGGCTTCTCTTGAGAATGAATTCAGGAATCAGAAGAGACTCATGCGTTCGCCAGATATTTTTTAAGTCCCTCTCTGTTTTCTCCAATGAGGACAGCACAAATGAAGAGGCAACGTACTCGTCTGAGGGTACATTGAATGAATACTCTCGGAACCAAGCGCCTTAAAACGCGTTATACCAAAGGCAGCCCAGGTGAGCCAAATGTTCATGTTCATTGCACTGTCCGTTTGCAAAGTTTAGAGGCAACTAAGGCGGTTGTCCTATTTAAAGATTCGCCAGTATCCGTTTAATACTAATGCATGCTCAAACAACGCAGCTCTTGGCTTGATCAAAGGTGTCACAGACGCAGCAGGCCAGACAATTTCCTTGCTCATCAAGAGCGGCAAATTTCCTAACATTATCTTAGGATCGTTGCAATTGACATCGCTAAATACCAAAATAACTGTTTGCCGTCAGTGCATGTGCGGTCAGCTGAGTCATTGAAGAGAACGGCCGGAGTTTTGTTGACTCAGCATCTCTCTATGATAGTGTTAAGAGCAGATATTTGTTTACGTTAGAAGGCACATCTAATGGTCTTGGAAAGTGAGAATTAAATGCACCAGTTATGAGGTTGTTTTGGATGCTCATATAATTGCTCGCTTAGCTTACTACCATCAGATAAATTTGTATCCTCCACAAATTACGCATATTAACACATAAACATTGTAGTGTCAGAAATAGATGATGAATATGACAGACTGCTCCCGAAAACACACTTGAATCATAGTCTGAAAGCAGTAAAATTAAGTGAAACGCAGACTGTATCACACAGTATGCAGGTTTTATTAAAACTGCAATTATAACTGGAGTTTGATCCTCTTCGGATTGCAAAAGACTAAGGAATAAAGCGTTTTGTAAAGAAATGAGCGAAATATTCTCCCGTGTCTAGTTTCTACCAAGTATGGTGAAGAGATAGGGCAAAATGCGACAGTAAGGACATATTCAAATGCTATTTATGCATTTTCGCATGCACGCTAACAATGTCGAGGTTGGAGTTTGCAGGCTGCTGTGTAAATGTTAGATTTAGCTAATACCACTTGTTACTGCCTTCTACAAAACCCCTTAATAATTTACCTCATCAAAAATGTACAAGTTAAATGCATTTAGTGTTTCATTAGACTCGTTTTCTACTTTTAAATTGGTAAGTAAACAAGTGCAAAAAATTTCCCATGCGTTAGTTTTTGCGGAGGAAGCAACCCCCAGCCAGGATGCGGCAGGCGCCTTCTAGGATCCATTCACATAAAAGCCCGAATGTCTAAATGCATCTAAAAAAAGAACGACCACCGTCCCCATGTTCGACGACAAGCTGGTTACGTAACAGGGAGAGTATGCCCCTTGGCTAAACATTTGCAAAATTTTCAACCGTTTACAAAGGAAGCTTTTTAAGCCATTTTGAGTGTTTTCTTTTAAAATAAAACATCATGCATTTTTGTTAAATAATAAGGCATTTAGTTTTACTTATAAGGCTTGTGAAGGACAAGATAACGTTGGTCCTTCTCTGGACTAATTTATCTGCGTCAAATGACCTTTAAGCGATCCATGATAGTAAGCATATAAAAAGACAATCCAGGCTATACTATAAAATGCAAAAAAGATGGAAGGAACTCGCTATAAACCAACCTACATTCACGCACACTTTTAAGGAAGCGACTTATTGCTAAAGACAAAAACTCGAAGGTCAAACTCATTCGTTTGTTGATTAATTGTAGGCATATGCAAATATGCATACTCTAACCAGGTGACGAGATAAGACGTGTGTTTGTCGGTGAAATGTTTTCATAAGGGCTGAATGCTTTGTTTGGCAGTCCGAGAAATAAACGGGTTTTATGTGAGTCCTCTTCCTCTCGTAACAAGACGAACAGCATCTACCGACGCACTCGTGTTCATGTGTTATTTTATGTGATATTGATATAAAACGAGCCTTGTATAGTTTTCGTTCTACGGCGGTCTTCTAAAAGTGAGACGCAAATCTTCCTCACCATTCAGTATTGCCCATTTGCATACCACATGGTCCAGTCCGCGCGGCACCAACCTATCCTCCGACTTTCTTCCTTTGCTTAAGTCTGAAGTATGGGAAAGTCGGCAAATTCCTACAACGGCACTATGTAAAGGTCGTAAGGACTCTCGTGAAGTATGTAACGAATTCATTTATCACTGTCTAGAATTTTTAGGACTCCAGATTGCAGTAAGGATGTCGTATATGTTACATTTGTGCCTAGCGCATAGATTACAAACATGCTTTCTGCCACTATATACTTGAAGTATTTCTGCCGTGGGCCTTTATATGTTTGCGGAAAGACAAAAATATCTCACGCAAAAACAAAAGTGTAGTAATCGTCATTTTTACCCGTCGGCACAAACATACAATATGTAGCATTTTCGTCATGCACAAATAACACTATAAACGTAATTGCTGCTCTATCAAAGCCCAGATTTCTCAAGAACATAAAAGCGTTATATCTGTTAGCAGATGTATTTCCTCTAATTTGCATGGATCCCTTAGTTAACTTTTCCTATTTTTAAAAAAGAGGATTGTTGCTGGTCTTTGAAGACCAAACTCATTTACATGGCGGTGTTGACTTTGGCAGATTGCGCGCTCTAAATGCGTTTGGTATAATATTCCCATTTTCATTTTTCAATTGTCTCGCTACCACCTGCAACTAATGTTTTAAATATAAATCTATTCGCACCAAGGGTGAAATTCTGGCCTATCATGTTAGGTCCTACGAAAACTGGCCGCAATCCTGATTAAGCATTGCTGGTCAAAAAAGGGGAGAAAGCGACGCCCCCTTGAATCTTTAATCTCTTTTAGATGTATGTTAAAACTGTTTTGGTTGTTCTTCCTAAAGTGTCGCGTATGCAGTATTTTCTAGATACTTTGGCACGTCTTATGGCAGTATGCGGTTGTCGACCGTATCAGAAAACTGGCATTTGCATAATTAAAAGGAGGTGTCCTCCCTTCGTTAAACCCCCAGCCCGTCGAAGTAAACGTTTTTTTCAAACCTGAATTAGGGGGCTATTTAAAGGAAACTTATGACTCAGTTGAAGAGGAAATTTTTAGGGAAGACTTCCCCCGTGTCGGTCGACTTTCCCTTTCTTTTGCATTATATTCGTATATTCATCTCAAACATCTTACTAGACAACGAAAAACGTCTCGCCTTAATAAATTCATGACTCTATAGACGAGATTTGATCTCTACTATCAGTTTTACTTTCAGTTGTCCGTCAAGTTGGTTTCCCTAAACTCAAAAAGTCGTCCCTTTTTTTTGTCGGGCATTGTAACATAAAGCCGTCATTGATAGGTACTTGATTCATAGCCTACTTAACCATTGTTTTCTTCTCCCTTCTTCCAAAGTCCTGCTCTATGCAGCCTACGCTCGTTTTAACTCATCGCGTCAGCCTGCCATTGTGATTTTTAGTAGGCTGCGCGATCACGGCATTAATAATCTGAACACTATGGTCTCAAGTCACTTCCTACAATCAATTTTACCTAGTCATCTGAGACTCACTGAATGACCTTCCCCAAGTGTCAGTATAAAACCAAATCCAGCATAATCCATGCTCTTGGCGAGGAGGTTTATTTTCCTTGCAGAGACCTAGGTAATTGGGAAAAGGTTGGGCATTAACCGGTCACTGCTGAGTCTTTGATAAAGTTTTATGCCAGCGAACATTCGAGAGTGGCTATCGGTAAAATATCACTTGCCGACAGATAAAATTTATTTGTGCACTCATTTTGTTTAATCTGGCAATTTTGAGTATATTCTTCTCCCCAATAAATCTGCGCTACTTCAAGACTTTGAATTTTAACCTCTTCCATTTTCCCTTCAAATTGACGATCTGATGTCATCCAGAGACTGATTGTACGCTAGGTGTGCTAACGATACGGTTTTTATTCGCGCGGACTAAGACGAGGTCTGTGTCCATCTCCTTTATTACGACTTGTATTATGTCCCGGTACAGTCGCCTTAAAACGCATTTTAACTTGACAGTCGACATTATTTTGAGGCATTTGTTGGTTAAAACAACCTCTCAATCCTTAATTCAATAATATACTTATTGGATGAATCCCGTCTTTTCAGTCCTTCACTATCACTCTGTGCTGCAATTACACATTTACACTTATCTAAGATTCCTGTTAGCAAGAAGTGTAAATTTTCTTGCGACACTGGGCATTTCATTTTTGTTACAGTTATTAACTGTTTATTCGACGATTCATGAATAATGAGATACTCGCATATATCCCTTGTTATACTCTTGGGATCTTCTACTCTATGGAAAAATAATTCCTGTTTTATGCCTCATTATTTGCGACGTCAATTGAGTTGTATATATTTCTCACTTCATTCTCATCGGTAGCTTGGTATTACGACATCTTGCAGACCTCAAACACTTTATTTACGGCATTTTTTATGAGGCTGTTCGTATCCTTCAGTAGGAACTAAATGCCCGGAAGTAACTTTGTCTAACTAGATCTAACTTCGATCAAATGACCTGCAGTAATATGGCACATTAAAAATCGACTAAACTAACACTGCCACAATTTCTGTCGTGTAATGAGAATAAAACTCGATAACTGAGTATACACTTTCAGCCAAAGCGATCACGAATTTTAATGTTAGGCTTTGTTCCCCAGAGACGAATTCATTTGTATTTTAAGTATAGTGGTTCGAAATGGCTCATGCCAAAACTTCAACGTCCTTGTTTCAAAGTAAGCTCATTCTCTCTCATTGGCGTCGTCAAACTGCAGGACACGTCAAAAGGCTTGTTTGCGTAAGTGATCTTAACTCAAACATACATTCCATTTTGATTCCACAGACTCAATGTTGAGGCATTCAAATTACGAAACAGAGCGACCTGTAGCTTAATGTTTAAAAACGGGTGCTGTTAACTTATATTTCGTTTCTGGACCACACAGCTTTTTGATATTTTCCACGGTCGTAGGGTTTTACGTTCGTTTGTCTGAAGGCTCAATCAAAATTTTCCACTTAATAACACAATTCACGTGTTTAAAGCATGCCACAAATGCGTATCATTGGTTGAGCCCAGAAGATTTGTGCTCACAAACTGTTGATTATCGTTGACTTTCTAAATGAAACCATAGGAGACTTTCTTGTTTTTAAAAGAAAAGTCCGCTCTAAATTAGATACTTTTAACATGAAGAAGCGAAACAGTTATTTAACAGGGCTTATACTCCGGCCTACTTGGATTTTAATTGCTTCTCACTCAACCTGATTTTCAAGGGTCTCATAGTGCAATAATTATATGCCATCGTACTCATGAAATCGTTTGTTTTAGTGTTTGCCAACGAGCAAAGAGATTAGTCGTATCTTCGTAAAAAACCTGAAACATGATTAAAATGCATGTGTGATCCCCGTATACAGCATTTTTGACCTATTAGGCATTAAAAATCCTAAAATTTGAGAAAAAATCCTAGAGAGCGCCTGAATTCACTAGATAATCGTGAACGCCACAAATCTGAGGCCAAGGTATATCGCCTTTTGAACATTTAACGGGGAAAACCCTTGTAAATAAAATATCCTAACACCGTCAACTCTTTCTATTGAGGGTCCAACGCTTCCCTAATTGAATGGCCACTGTATCAGACCCTTGAAGGTTTCAAAATACAGACTTTCAGGCTGTATGTATGAAGAGACATATCCCACATACCTTTAGTGAACTTATTTCACTAACGATATGCATTTTAAAAACCGAGTCATTAAAAAGGTAATGCTTTGTTGAGCTTTTCCATAAGGTAGCACATTATAATCTTAACGACATCTAGACACAGATCGTGAATAGTTCTTTTTGAATCCGCAAAGTAAATAAAATAGCATTTGGGAATACGAGGCAGCCTTTAGAGCCCTCAATCGATTCAAAATATTTGCAAAGCTCTAATTGCCAAAGAAACACCGTTTACTATTTTAAAATAATAGTTGCAGGTTTTTGTGTATGAGCAACCTATTTACGATGTGACTGTGTTGAAGAAAGAGAGAGAAGTAGAAAAACAAGAAGAATAGGTAGAGTAGGAGGTAGAGGAGTGGAAGAAATGTGGTGAAGAAGAGGAAGTGGAGGAAGAGTAGAAGAAGAACAAAAAGAAAATTAAGAAGGGAAGGCCGTGACGACACCATCTCCCAAATGCGATTTGTTTTATTTTTTGAGCAAATCGACCTAAACAGTGCATTAAGGACTTCTTACGATGTGAAAGAAAAATTAAATATTAAAGTGTTTCACCTCCTACCTGAACGTAGTTTGCGGTACCGGTCGCCAGCTTTGGCAAGACGACATCCGGAGAGTCCGGCGGATAATCATGCTTACTCTTCTTGGATTTCGGTCCATCCATAGACTCAGGTGTTGGAAAAGGAATTTCTTCCGGTGACTTGGAGCACAACCAGCTGAAGATAGCCCTCACCTTCGCTTCATCTGTCTCTAGCCCACGAGATGTGATTAAGTGATAATAAAGGTCAGCCCAACAGCTCGGTTTTGCTTCATCCAATGCAAGGAGTCGTGCTTTAGAGTCCACAGGCTGCTCGGTGTGCGGTTTTGTGAGCAGATTATGTACGTCAGCTGCTGGCTTGCAAGAATTCGCCTCGATTGGGGGTTGGTAGTTGCCCTCTTTGTCCTTCTTCAGTAACGGTGCGGCAGCAGGAAGCTTAAAGTCTGCCGGTGCTGCGGAGAGAAACACTACCAGTTTTCTAACGTGGTTCTCTCCAGTCGGCGCTGCTTGTTGTTGATTGTCCGCTGTCGCTTCAACAACATCCCCTGTTTGTCACCAATGGTGGATTACAAGAAGAATCTTAGTTAGAAAATCCTGGTGAGTCAAAATGAATTTTCTTGCCCACACAGAGAACATTAAAAGTCGTGTTTAATTTTGAATTACGAAAAAAGAATCTGATCGCCTGACATTCCATCATTCACTTCTAACAACTTATACCTCTTTTTAGGAGCGGCTGCATGCGTGCTTATCAAACAGTCTTCAGTTCGCGAATGAAACATTTTCGGAAATTTTTCTTATATGAGACGTAAAAACATTCCTTTATTTGAGTCAAAAGCGTTTTATAACGTGCTCGTATCCGCAAAAATTAAGAACACCCGCCTATTCAGTGGGTAAAGGTCAGGCTTTTTAAAATGAATTATTCAGGCCTGAGAGACGCCTCATTGATTGTGTACAAGGAATAAGGAATCAACTAACTGCAGAAGATGCAACGAGACATAACTGATTAAGGAAACTTCCAGTTCCTGAAAGTTTCTATGGTTTCAAAGAACAAATGCTCTTAGGTAGTTGCTACGTGTAAAGGTAAGCATTTTTCAACCTCTCTTTGTCCGCGATGTCATTGCCCGTTGTGGAAGATCAGCTAACTATGAATTTATTACTCATACATATAAATTGGTTTGTCGCAGTACCTACATAAGTGAAAGGTCATGCCCTTATTGCGGAAGCGCTAGTGGGTTACGAAGTAACTGAGAAATGACTCTTTAGTGAGTTCCGTAACGTTTCCCATATAATAACCTGCATATCCTTGATTTTTCAAATTGAAACTGTCAAATTCATTGGAAACTAATTCGCGAATTTGAAGTATTGTCATCATGTTAACTATGCCACAGAACAGCTTTAAGGATGTCGTGTGTCTGCTATCCCAAAATTTAGTTACGTACGACTTTCGTAGCCTGGCGGGCGCTGGCAATTCTATGGCACCATTTGCCTTGCCAGTAAATGCGCTTGCACTCCCGTTGGGTATACACATCGTGAGCAAAGTTCCCTAGTTACTAGTGTAATCCACTTTTGTTAATGATTAAAACCCTAATGAAGTGTTTGTTGCAGACCAGGGGGTTTTGTGGTACGCCTGAGTGCGGATCCGATCGTGCAAGTCACCTGCACCCTCTTCCGCCTCCGGTCTACTTGACGATGTTAGGACACTGGACCCAGATGGAGGAGGAAAAAATGCTGTATTTTCCGCGCAAGTTTACTTTCACTACAAACTAATCCATGCGCAAGTCACCATGCCTGCTCCATCTTACGCAGTAGTGATAAACAGATACGACGATCGAACTGTCAGTATGCTACAGATCACTTGTTTTCCAATCTGAGTGTTATCGAACTGAATTCGCCCAGTTTCTTTTGAAGCTTTGATAGCTAAATCTAAAACAACGCGCCCCAAAGATGTTGTTCCAAATTTTAATTCAAAGTTCCTTTAGTCTGATGTTTTGCTGCACTCTCATATAAAACAATTATACAATATGAAGAAACTAGTAGGCATAGGAGATTACAAAAATGTCGGATGCCTGTTAGCTAGTGTAATGAGTGTTTCCGCACTCCCTGCTTTCCCCCCTAGGAATGCGACTTACTCTGGCCCGGTGAATTTGTGTGTACCGTTACTCCTGGTTATGCAATTATACTTTAATTTATCGAAAAATTTGTTGTCACAACCATGCACGTACTTTTGCACATTTTTGTTGACAGTAATGAATTCTAGATGCGAAAAATATTGTGGTATTTTGGCAAAGATGGTCTCTGAACAAGCCCGCGCATATTGCGAAAAGAAGCCCTCCATTTGTCACTTTAAATGTGGCCATCTCTTATATACTCGAGCTCTGGAAGTTGGAATCTCCAATTTTGGATGATAAGGCATTGTACGTGTCCGTTTCTGACTAGTTTCAAATTTGCATTTTGCGTGTTGCAGTAATACATTTGGTGAATCTTGGTAATCTTGTGCCCTTGTACACGTTTCTTATTTTAAATGTTGAATTTTTAAATTGATGTTTTAAGTTAGTTGGTTAAAATTGAAATGTGTCGTAATAACATGCATTTCCAATTTGTTCATGTGGACGAAAATAATCGACTGTCTAGCTTTTTCTTACCATCTTGAATATTGTGTTATATACGTTTGTGACTAGGACAATAAAACCCAGTAAACGTAAAACGTTCTTCCTTCACACAGCTTTTTCCCTCTAAATTTGGGACGTTATTGAGGAACCCCTAATGTAAGACTCATGAGAATTCATTAGTGTCATCAAATATTTTTCCACCAACTATGGAGTATACCCCTATCTTTTGAGTTCGTATGACAAAAAACTAACACCCATGATCTCATTACATTTGGGCGATGTTGTGGCGTCATATTCACGTAGTAACAGTACTGCACCATGAAGAACCGTTAAGCAATTACCAATGACACATAGGTAGACGGAAAGTAGTCGATTCTGCATAAATGTAACCAGTATGCATTTTAATATTCAGACGTAAACGTAATAATTTAAAGCGAATAACCAACCGATAGTGACCATTTCATACAAATAGTTTGCTTTCGGATAAGTGCTATTCGCCATCTGGCATGGATCTCAACTTCTTTTTGAGAGAATTTTGAAATAAAAGGCCTGCCTTCTTATGCAGAATTGCAATACATGTGTTCTCTTGCAAACATGCAACGTGTATTAACTAAACTGTCATCAGAACGATCGACAATATTTATCCATGATGAGCGCCTGCTTTCGGACAAAAAAAGTAATTGTTAATTGCCAAGGGTAGACAGAGTAGACTAAGTTACATTAAATATCATTTGTGCTAACTCGTTTATTCAAATCAATGGTGAAATTTGATCAGTATAATGATGATCCGTTTGTTGGCCGCGATGCGACACCGTTGAAGGGCACAGCAAACGATTTGGGGAAGTATAATTTAATTTACAATGACAATACACGCCGGTTAACCATAAGATGGATTATTAAAATGTTTTGACTGAAAAACGGAAAATTATCGCGAGGAGGAGCATTGAAGTTTGTATTTTTTAAATAGAAACTTCAAAGGCACTTTATTGTCACACGGTGCCATGTCTGTTTGCGCGCGAGAGCACTAACATAGTTCATAGAATCGACCTTAAACATGACGAGTCCAACCATGCTGTTGAGTCCAAATGAAAGCCGCAGAGTAGACTGCACAAATGCGAACTCATCTTAAAACGTGCCTAACATATGGAAGCAATAGCGGACCCTTGCGATGGCCGTGTGAGAGGTCAATATTTATATATCATGTAGACCTCCTCGGAAGCAGAGACGGTCAATTGATCTGTTAAATTCCCCATGTTTACTGCGGCTTATGTCATTGTCTGAGCCAAATGGATTTAACTGGGGAAACTATAAATGCAGCTATGGTGCCAATAATCCCTTTCGAGCTGATACTGGCAACTTCTCAGTGGTCAAGGTTTGACAACTGGGATATAATGACGCGAGTAAAGATCGGTATTACCTAGCCTTCAGCCTTGCAGGAGCACGTTTCAAACGAGTAGATAAATAAAGGTTAATGCGAGCAGGCATGCTGACTGCAAGGCAGCGACTACAAAATCGATCGCCAACAACCGGAGCATACGTTTTAACGTCGAACGGCAGATGGAACGCTAACCGTAAGAGCTCAATAAATAGCTTTGTAGTGTACGATGTCTTTATCAAAAAGAATCGGTAGACCCAGTTGTTGGAAAAGCTGGAGGACGAATAAATGCACTGCAGAAACCTCCATTGGCTTTTCAATAGTCTTTCATGGGGCCGATAGTTGCCTACATGATAATAATAATTACGTGGAATAATATATTTACCTAATTTAAAGGTTTTGACTTGTGGGCAGAGGTTATCAAAATGTCGTAATTTGTTTCTGTCCATATTTTATTACTCACAAGCGCGGTCCTTAATAAAGCTTTTTATCGAACAAGCTCATTGGCTTGATTTAGGTATAGTCCTGAATTCGCAGAAGGCAGTACTGTCAGGTAACACAGGCTTTGAGAGTTAAACGATGGACCAACAAATCGCAGTAAATAGGTTGATGATGTTAAAATTTATCTAATCTTCAAATAGTCATTTTGAGAGTAAAAAGGGAACTTTCAAATAAATGTACTCCTCTCTCCCAGATAACTGATGCATTATTCTCAACTAATGCAGAATCCGCTGTTCCTTTCAATAATTGACATATGCAATACTATAAAGTGTGCGTAAGACCTCTGTAATGACGAATGTCGTCCCATTCTGCGTATTTGTTTGCAGGTGATACGTTGCAAATGGACGTGTGATTGCTTATTCACAGATTATTCACTTGCTGCTGGGCGGCATTCCAACAGAGCAGTGTACGGAAGTTATGAATAGCGGCTCTGAAAGTCGACGCACTTACAGAGGACCCAAATAAATTTATAAATATAAACCGGATTTTTAAAAGACTTTACTGGATAATCTACTGCGCGTGATAACTATCAACTTCTACCTGACTCCTGGTTGCCTGATAAAATTATCGGCCTAAAAATAAAGCTGGGTTACCAGTAGGAATTCAGTTTAAAATCCAGATAATTTTTCTTCCTTATAGGTTCCAGGACTACCTGGAGGATGATGGTGACGGTAACCAAATTTTCGTCATTAATTTCGCAGTAAATATTATTTGGCCGGAAAGCATACAGGAGCTTTCAAAACAGGCGCTGTAGCGGAGGGCAATACCGAATTTTTACTCCGCCCATTATTAAAAGGGGCAATGTTTGATTGTTAGCTAATAATCCGTGACTTCTTTTCAAGCATTTACCATTAATTTGGGCGAAACCAGTTAAGTGGTCGAAATAAAAATCATGTATAGTAGGAGTTTAGTTTGTAGCTCAAAACGATACAGTCGCTGAAATGGATGAAGATAAATGATTGCACATTTGCGTTTTAGTACATTCTAAACAAATTTATTTAGGCCTTTTTGCCTATATACTATCTCAGCTTGGATTTTGTGGACTTATATTCACATCGGTATTTGTATGTCTAAGACACGCAAACATGCTTCATTGTATAATCCCAAATATGAGCGCTAGGCCGACAGTTCCTCATATATGTAGCATTTTCGAAAAATATATTGTGTTATGGTCTCACGTCAAGCATCAAGGGCAGCTTTTTGTCATCGAACCTACTAATTTATTTTTGCGCTTTTAGCTCCTAGATACAAAAATAAGGCCTTTTGGTATATAAATGCTTTTGTAAAAATCAATGAGGATAAATTATTTAGACCCTACATAACTCATTACGAACTCTTTGAGGTCTACCGACAAGGCTTTATCTCGACGACGTTTCCACATAGACCCGATAAACGTAATAGTAAACAGGTGCATGTCTTTATTGCATCAGAGCATGTTAATAATTACTCTCTTCTATTAGGGTCAGTTCGCCCCACTAAAAATTAGAAACAACTCGCTAAAGATTCATAAGCAGTTTTATGACTATAATAATAATAAACATATCCTATATGTCCCCATCGCGTGCTTGGCTTGTAAGCTCACGGAACTCTGTTTTCACACGGGTGATAATCTGTCTATAAGCTCAACTTTAGTTTTTAGAGCGGACCGCTCTCCCGTATATCGTCAATTTTGTTTTCAAAATTAGCTTCATGCAAAGGTCTATGCTGGCATTTATAAAACTGTAATAGACTTCTGGAAATGATATCCTATATAAGATGAAAATGAGCTTTTTGAACTTAAATGGGATTTTACCCTAAATGAAAGAGAGGGATGAATGTATTGAGAGCCAAGTAAACATCTGATATTAACAGACAATTATTTTTCTCACACTGTCAACATCTTGTTTAAAATATCAAGGGTAGTATAAGGCAATTAAGCATGCGTTCTGAAGTGAACTATGTCCCATTTCTTCATAAAAGGATAACGTCAATGAAACGTTGTACTACGAAATTAAGCCATAAGTTTACTTACCGTCAAGAACTACTTTCTTTCCTTTCTGTTTCTTCGGCTTCTTTTCACCGCTTATCTAAACAGGAGGTAAAGGTTAAAATTTTCAGCTGTTTTTTTATTTGAATTCATGTTTAGTTAAGTTTTGCCTAAGACAGCAGTGACGATATGGTCCCGGAAACGTCCATTCTCGAGAGAAATCGAAGTAAAGGTATGCGCGGATAACCAATGCCTTAGAAGCCAGTGCATAGTTAATATTTGCGTTACTATGAGAAGAATGTTTTTAAATTCCTGCTTAAATCACCATATAGGCACCTGATTTTGTATTGCATATCACGCAAAAGAAAATGCTTTCCCAATTATGCGCTAATAAAGAGAAGTAAATGCCTCAAAATGTGTGCCGAAAAAGCGTTCAGGTATTCTTAAATGGTCAAGTTTTCTCAGTCCTTTCTCTAATGTTGAGGTTAGTCTGATATTTTGGAAATGACGAAGCTTTCCGATGTGATTTTCACTGTTCTTATAACAACACAGACTAATTGGTGCATCCAAACTCTTAAGAATTATGGCGGATTAAGAAAATCAATAGATATTCGCTTTTCGGTTAGCCATGAAATTAAAAATTAAACGCTTTGGACATTTTTGGACAAAGAATTTTTAATTAATTTGTTTAAGATTGCAAAAATATCAGAAGCATGTGACTATAACTAGGACTCCTTCAGGGATACTTTAACAATTGGTGATATGCATGCATATCCACATAATATTCGTTAACTTAGTACTTGTGTATCGAGTATAGTTTGGGTCTCTGGTGAAAGCATGAGGATTGATCATTAACTGGTTCACTTGCATGGTATGTTACTTAACCTGTCGTTAGGTGGAAAATACTGACGAATGTTTTCATAACTGACCATGCATGAGGATCCGAAATCTCTACGATTTTCGATAAGCGGTTGAGAAACGGAAAAACACAATCGCATGTTTACTTCAACGACGATCACTGTGCCTGTTTTAAGCGTAATTTAGAACAAACTCGGTTTCAGCTAATGCATATCATTTGCAGGGACGGAACTAGAAAACCCAAACATGGTTTATGACCTTTTTAAGCAAGGCATAAATTGACATGAAAACACTTTAACACCGTTACTGAACCCCTGAAAACGTGAACTGAATGTCCATTAATGCGCAATTTTCAGAAACCACCGTCTCTTTGATCCACGTCCATCAAATTTTTAAGTAAGCCCTAAAGACATTGTCGAGTGGATTAAAATAGGTTTTTTCCGTGAAGTCTGTCAAATGCGTACATTTTTTCTGCCATGATCATGACGGGCCATTGTAAAATGTCTCCCAACCAACTCGCACAGACACAAGCTGCACCAATTGTCAAGGGTCGATGCCTTGTATATCTCTCATATATATGCAGAAGGAGGGTCGACTATTGGGCGTTCAAGTTGGGGATATTCAATAGCAGACCTCAAAAAATAACTACGCGGTAATAAGCAGAAAGCTGGACTTCCAGCGAGCCAGTATGCCACTGTGCTGAAGAACCAAATTGTTAAGAGACCTTCAACCACAGCCATGCGAGAACAACCGCACCGATGACCATTCTTTTCTGACACAAACGGAGAAAGGCAGCAGCATAATTCGACAACCAGAGAAAACGAGCGAGAGCATAACGTTTGCTCCTCGAATCGGTTCACCAAAGCCAATCACATAAAACGCCTACACATGGCGGACTCCTGTCCAAGCGCGAGAAGACTTTCTGTCGACAGTCATCTAGCCCAAAGCGATGTACGCTATTCGAAAAAACGGACAGCGCGAAACCCAGAAACTATTTAAAGTGGAATTCGGCCAAATTTTCTGTACGAAACAAAGGAATATGCAAATGGTCAGAGGTTTGGGACGAGAAAACGCAAAGATGCGTAGCTGCCAACTGTAGTTTTATAGTTGAAACTATGAGAATTTTGAAATAACTCTAAACTGGCATCTTTCGTACCATCTTAATATATTTACAAAACCTGTGGAAACAGATATCATCATCATTTCAGAAATAATGTCCCTTTTTTGATTAGGAGGCAACTGCGTAACAACATCGTAAGGTTCATAAGCTCGTGTGACAAGTAAACTTTTAGTTTCGAAGGCCGTTATAATGTTTTAATCGCCAACATCTATTTCAGATTTCTGGACCTCTACAGACTGATTTGTGCTCGTCTGATCGTCACTCGCCAAGTAGAAGTGTGCTCCATACCATACGCGGTCTGTAGAAAAGCGACGGACATTTTGGATACTTATTGTGGAACTCCGCTCCTCTATTCAATTGTTGTCTGGTCCCGCAGACAATGATAAATATGACAACGCGACTCTGACTTCAACGCCGATGCGTATTTTATCCCACATTCGCGAATTTATTTAGTCTGACTAATAAGATTAATCAGAGGGTATCATGCTACTTACATTAATTGAAATTCAACAGCACGATTTAGTCTGGCCAGCTATTTTGTCTCAAGACGAGTTTGATAAACAGCACTTAGCATTAACTCGTAGGAAAAAGGTTGGCGGACGCAGCGCCCTAGTATGCAATAAAGTAAGCAACACCAAACCTGTTCAGAGGTATCGCGGCAATCACCCTATGTTTCGTAAGTGGAGCAATCTTACAATCCCGCTAAAAGTAACTACAAGGGGCTAAAGTGACACGAGGGACGAGCTAAAGCGCTCAGGTATCCATTTGGAGAGGAATGTCTGCCCTGGAGGGGTCTTATGCAGGTTGCTCCGTCTCTCCTCGCATGAATTAACAAAAGAAATGCAAGGACCCTGAAACATTCTTAGCTATGTCCAAAAGGTCTCAGAGGCTGCCAAACGCATTATCGTAAGGCTGGGTGTCTGCATAATCGTTCCACGAAATGACCGACCAAAAAGGGACACCGTGATTGAAACACTGACCTGTGTAGAGCACCTTTTGCAGTTATCAGAATTTTTGTCACATCTGTCACATCACATCATTAGAAGACTGACGATATGTGATGTTCAAGCCCAAGCTGTCTCTGCAGATGAGTGATTCGCACTCCCATGTCAGTGACCACACCCTACAGACAGGCTTTATGTTCAACTTTATCGATAAAATGATTATGACAAAAATACAGATAGAAAGTTGTTTGTGTTCTTCATTTATTTTGGCAGTTCTATAAACCGATGTATCATTCTGCCTCCTGCCTAACACTCCATTCATTTCACGAAAAATAAAGCGACTCTACCTTCAGCAAAGTGTAAACAATGCCAGCAGGTGGTCAGACTGCGAAGGCAGCCTGTTCACTGATTTTCTCTCAGGGACCTCCTATGTGGACTTCGGTGACCCAATGAATAATACAATGAACAGACTCATGTGACACCTAAGTTCTCTTACTATTTCCCAAAGGGACACGAGACTCACATCCTTACTTCTGTTCATGAAGGAGGACTGCGCTCTATGCATGGGCTTATTTGCTTATCGGCCGCAAACAGGCTAGATTTTGTGCGGCTGATCTAATCACCTTGTTTAAAGCCTGAAGTTCACGGAATATATATACGACTATTGAGACTAAAACCGCAATGACGTTTCCCCAAATCCATAAGTTTGGACGGTTTAATGATTTTGCGTTGGAGTAATTTAAATATCTGTTCCTTAGTTTTAATTTGCCTACTTTTCCACGTGTACCATACAGATTTAAACAGGAAATATTGGTAACTCACATAGCAACACAGCGGATTGTGATTAACATATCCTGCTGACGTGTCAATCTAGCAAATTTAGACGGACACAGCTTTAGCTACTTTTGTGTTTACGACGTTGGCTGTGCCGACTTCCGATGTTGTTGCACCCGTTTCTTGTCTACGCGGTTATTTTACTTGCTTCAAGCATCGTCTCGGACATTATTATTTTAATTTCATGGAATGTTTTTTAACCAGCCGCTAAACAGTCGGGTAGAATGATTTATGCGGAAGAAAAACGTTTAATTGCCTCCCTTTTCTATTAACCTCTGTCTATTTAGAATATGGCAGCAGTTTCAGTTTCTGTACTGGTCCTGGCTTCATTGATACTAAGTTATCTACATGCCGGACATGCAAATTTTGGTGTTTATGTGCTTATCGTAAATTACACCCTGACGGACTGTCACTGTCACTTTAATAATAGGACTAATCGGAATTCCGCTATTCGCTGATTTTTTTATACTGTCCCTTTGTCCCCTCCTCCCCTCCAGTCCGCCGTCTAACCTGTTCGGATGGGTCGGATCCGAATTTGCAATATCGCAGAACTCGTCTTAGTGGGATTATCAGCGGAGGGCTAATTTTGTTTCCAACCTGACAGATACCTCTGTCCCGCACCAATTAGCCTCTGGCGTTTACATTTCGTGTGTATGTGCACTGGCGCTTTTATTGGTGTGCAGGTTTCAACACACACACACACTCAAGTGACAAGAGAGGCCAGAAATATGCGATGCAGTAAAAAGGCCGTAGTCCGTCCTGTGTGTGTGCGTGTGGATTGTGGTGCACCTTCCTCGTTATTAATGCTACCATTGGCGTCTGCGAGGTACGCATATGCACGGCCCGCCCGAATGTAGGAGCATATGCGCATCTTGCGCCGACTTCTTCGCTAGTGATGACGTGGGTACCGGTTGCTGCGTTCGATTACTATTCGTCAAGCCGAGGGCGCTGTGCAGCACGTACACACATAGCGCGTAAGCACACAAGTCAGGACAACAAATTTGTTTATGCGCAAGCGGAGCAGCGGTGGGAGTAGTCGACAGCACATGACGTGGACGCAGAGGGCATAGCAGGAAAGCGAGGAAACACACGAACTGCATAAGCAACACCTGGTCGGCGCGCGGCCTTTCATCGCGAGTTAGCCTAAGGCAGCAAACGACGGCACGGGGAGAGACGGTGCACACAAAAACTCATTAGAATATTCCGCCATCAGTCTTTGCAAGGTCACAAAATACCCGACAAGTTTTGGCGAATAAATACAGAGATAATAGATGGGCATTTTTGGTATGCTCGTCCTCCCTGGCCATTGATCAGCAACCTCGACCTGCATGCTCAGTTTTAAATTCAATTAATCATCGAGTAACATTCCCACCATTGCACCACAGGATCATATCATATCGGCTGAGGTCGAGATGGCTGACCGGCTTAGGTTCGTGTCTCGGACACACAGTCCGCCGACGAAAAATCACTGGAAGACGACGGCAAACAGACTAGAAATTGCCATCTCGACATCTCTAGTATTCATATTGACCCAACTGTGAAAAACTCGGCGCCTCGGTGGGATTCGAACCCTCGCAGTAAAGGGGAAGGCTTTAGTACAGCCAACGCTCTAACCACCTGAGCTACGAGGTAAAGCATTTCATGTTTTTGTTGGCCGTCTGTGCACGAACACCCGTGTAGTCTGTTGATCACGATCTCCAGAGTAAATCTTGAATGCCCGCTTTTATTATGAACTCCGGTTAGACTGAGGGACCCCACTATCATATACCCGAGGACTATCTGGGCAAATCCTTTTTTGCTGGAAGTAGTCGGCTTCATCTCACCTGAGCCTGTTGGCCAGCTCTATCCCCTCAATATTTAATATATTTGTCCTTTTTCCAGCCCAACCGGATATCGTAATTGACTGTTGGCGATCCATGGTCTGGTATGGGGGGGTATGTCCTATGACTCCACATCTGACGATTATCTAAAGGCCGTGCATCATTCTTGAAGAGAGTGGCTTATTACGACTTCAGACGATTTCACAGACCCTCCAAATAGCGTGTCAGAGGTGTTTTAATTTCTCGACTCATAACGCGGCCTGTTCTAGAGACACCCAAAATTTCTGAGTTCAAAAAGTTCATGATAAGGACATCATCTTTGGATAGCGTTGCATACTTTAACCAAGTAAAATTTTTACGTACCGGCACTAAATTGCAAGAAAAAGAGGGTCTCCAAACTGGCCTACACTGACTTACTCATCCGTAGAAACAGCTGTCTGCATTCTGCTGTAAGCAGTCAAGAGGCATGCTGATTTCCAAGGGCTGTGCCCTCGGCTTGGCAAGAAGCTACGCAGTAAATCATAGGCATAAATAACCGAAATTCTAATATTTCAAAGGATATTTACAAAAAATGACTATACTGATACTTTTTTACAACAGCGATACAACAGCGAATTGTTTCAGCTATTTTGTCGTGACTAAATCTGATATCTGGATTGGTATAAAATATTATGTAAATGCCCAAATAGGTCGGCATTCCAAAATATGCATGATTCTCTTCGCACGCGATTTCATAGGTCTTGAAGATGTTAATGAATATATCGAAATTTTAATTCATTCTGCAGGATCAAATATACACAAAGAAATGGGTGGCCGTTAAGTTTAAAAAAAGGTTTTAAGGTAATTACCTCGATGCAACCGTTTGTGGTATATAAAGGAGAACTCGTAATTGGAATATACAAAATAAAGTATTCTGTACCATTTCAGTTGCATGTATCATGGCGTGGAATTGAAATATGTTGACTGCTCATATCTATGATAATGCTGTACCAATGTTTTATGTCTTTTAACAGCAATGTAGAAAAAGCCGAAATCTAGGGGTTCGGTTATTTTCTTATGATGCTGATGCTTTGTTTATGCTCGATCGACAATTCTGCACGAACTTGTGGTTCTCGCTGAAAAATGAATTTACTAAAAGAGCGTATTGCTTTAAACTACATTTGGTCTTAAGCCGTTTACCACTTTTCAGTAACCTACTGATTTTCAAGTTAAGAGCAGCCTACATCTGGTAAATAGAACTAACCCGGTAAACAAGCCACTACGCAGATTTTAATTAAAGGGAGCGCGAGACCTTTTCATTATTTCTCGTCTTTCATCCATTTACGACAGGACTACGTGACCCTCCTTCTCTATTGGAACGATGGTAAGGCCAAATTCAGTATAAACAAGTGAAATATGGCTTGGTCTCGTGCTTCGGAGTCAACCAGGGTCAAAACATATTATGTTCTAAGCGAACTGCGCGAATTAAGCAGCATAAAATTCAAGTTAAGTTGTAAGAAAAGCGGTTGGGACGCGTTTTATCTCACTGAGCGCATTCGAAAAATTAACGATCTTTGGTTTGGAGTTTCGTTGTATTCTTGCATATGTGTAACAAAACATTAGGCAAATAACGACCTAATCGTTTCTCGCGCTAGTAATTTCCTCATACATCCGATAGCATTTTACGGTAAAGAAAATATACAAATCCTGCCCCACAATTGTGCTACCAGTGTCAGTTATATGCGCTCAAAAGTGATTAGGCGCTCGAGAGCATACTTTTAAGGACTTCGCATTTCCTGAATGTCTCTGTATTTTAATTTAAAAGAATTAAGGGAAAAGTAGGGCGCTTCTGTTACTTAGCTGAAAGTTGCATGAAAAACAATTATCGGCCGTGTGCTATATCGAGACAAAAAAGTAATAACTTTGAAAACTTTATACATACCGGTGGAGCTTTGCTGACGCAGGACAACTTGGTGCCCATTTTCCGCGTATACTCAACCACGAGTTTGAAAATCCAAATCAATAATCCAACGTTTTAGATGAGTCAGTAATAGGGCGTCAAACCCCAGGAAGTCGATGTCCTCACTGCTCAGTCGCGTGCTTACCAGTGCAGGCTGCCGTCAATTTCACCAACCAATGATAGGAACCAATGAGCTGCGAAGACTTTGCACACGCCGCTGAATGGCTAATTTTAGAGCCAATAGAAACTTTTTCACCTCTCGAATAAAATATTTCACTTCTGGCAGGTTGTGGAAGAGCGACAGCCGGAGTATTGGATGTAACAACTCCTCGAACAAATTAAAAAGTTAACTAGTCCAACAGAAGTCTGTAAAGATTGGTAAACTTTCTCGCGTAAGGATTGCTCACTCTTCGCTGAGCAACCTGAAACATAATTCAACGCGCGTTTTCGAGCGGTCAACAACGACTGTCTCAATAGTATGTGCGCCGATGTCACGATTTTCTACGGACATTCGTGCTTATAATGGTTACTGTACACTCCACCCACGGCCTTCGACATTACGGAATAATTAATTTTAAGGATGTTTTGTGATTTCTCGTTTAATTAAAAAGATGTTGTTTTGATTATTCGGAATCTTTTAGAATCACTGGTCTGCTAATTCTGAAAACATTGTTTAGCTGGACAGTGTCTTAGTGCAAGCGTTGTTACTTCCTTTTGAGCCAACTAACCTCCTCATTCTACATGCTTTTCGTCACCGTTTTCATAGTATAAGTTAAAATCAACACTACTTATTGCAGCATCGCAAATACTAGATTCGTCAAAAATCTCATTACTTCAATTCATTATCACAATGTAGCGTATTCAAAATGAAAATTGTTAACAATATTGTTTCCAATATTTATAACGCGGCATTGGCCTTTGTCCGCTAAAGTTGCTTATCTTTCACTGTTTTGTCCCCATCAGATCAAATGGCAGTATTCTGGATCATTTTGTCGTTAATAGAGTCCTTTTATGGGTATCAGGTAGTTTTCGAAAGACGTTTGTGAGTTCATCTGTGATATAATTCACCATCCTTGATTTGCTCCACGACGTCCGCACGTATCAATAAGTTGGCTTAATTGGGTTTCCCAAGTTTACATTTTTAATAACTTCCCTTATCAGGAATATCGGCCACCTTAGTAAAATTTTCATCATGAATCCAGTATTTGAAGGCCGGAAAATTCAACTTATCTTCTTATCACAAAACCCCACTGATGCGAGAAATGGCTTGGACGTTGAATAATCACAGTTTGAATGAGAATAACAATTTCCTGATTCAAAGAAAGCTATTTTATTTGCGTTTGTCAAGGGAATTCCTAAAGGAGAAAAATATGCTACAGTGCGTGACGCATCTGATGAAATGTTGGCCGAAATACTGAAATGCGTTTTCGATTAAAAAGGATTCCTTGGTTGGTGTTGTACAGTTACTTATCAAACGACGTAATCCCATAGTATTTCGGTATTACAATGATGTAGGCTCTTGAATGCATCTCTTTTTGTCCTCCTATAGAAGCTAGATTTGGTAAAAAAGTGGCTAACTGAGTATCACGTATTTTTCACATTGATTTTTGATGTTTTTATAAATTAAAATATTTTCTTATGATAAGCGTGCACTGAAGCAGGCTTTTCTTTGCTTGGAAGGTAAAAAACATTGTCTTTATATTTTGTACTCGAAGAAAGCGTATATTTAAGTCTTAAAAAGTTTCTAATTATGAGATTTTGAAGACCGTGCGATGTCCATATATACGACGTCGCACACATCCGTTTACCAATGCTCCTCGAGAAACGTGCAACACACTCCACACTGATTGAAAAGTTTTATGAACTCAACCTGGTATCTCCGTAAAGGCATGAAGGAATAAGTAATTTTTCTTATGAGGAATGCATGTACCTTATAGAATGGAATCACTAAATGGTAAAGCAACGGCTGATCTAGCCCAAAATTATTTGGGAACTGGGAAACATTTTCAGAAGCTAAAAATAAACTTTCTTGGGATGTCAAACATAAAGACAATGTTTTTCTACCTAACAAGCAAAGGAAAGCATGTTTTAATGCACGTTTTTCATAAGAAAATATTTTAATTCATAAAACCATCGAAAATTAATGTGAAATATACATGCTACTCAAGTAGTTACTTTTCTACTATGTCAGGCTTCTAAAGTGGGACAAAACGAGGTGCATTGAACAGTCGACATCCTCGTAAGTCCGAAATACTATGTGATTACGTCGTTTAATGCGCAACCGTACAACATCAACTAAGGAATTCTTCCTAATCGGCCAACACTTCATCAGATCGGTCATGCACTGTAATTTCATCGGTGAATAAGGACAAGTCTTTAAGATAATTCAATAGTAGAGCCGTTTAACATTTTGGTTTCGTGCGGGAGATACTGAGTAATTAGATAGCATTCTGCAGCAAATTCTGTTCGGTAACTTATGATTCCTTTATACCTATAGCCGCCTTGTGAGATTAAATCTATAACCAATATCGTCGCAGTACTCGAAATTAGTCATAAAAGTGAATAAACACAACTCATATTTATGTAATCTTTTAAGTGAAGGTAACTGGCGTTCTAAAGAGCCGTGTATGACTTTTATCAAACCTCAGAGACGCAATTCGTAATTTATATCTCATTAAGTGCCAAGATAATCAGGCAGTTCTTTTTGAGTACAGTCAGTTTAGGAGGAATTGCAACACCCCGCAAACCCTTTGGAAGGTACCGGCGTTTTGGGCTCGAAAGACAGCAGCACGGCTCGAATATCCTAAACATATTAGTGACTATATAAATCCAGTAACCTGCGCTCACATTTAGTTATTCGAAGACTGGCCTAGGCCATTAACTAAAAGTTTTGTACCCTCTGAGACTGTTGTGCTCAATGCTAACCTGGCCTGCCGCATACATTGTTGCTTTTCCAAAAACGTTTTTGAATTTTTTAGCTTCGCGCGATAAACACAATTTTTGCTTACCAGGAAGACCACCCTGGGACTAAACTGTAGCACTCAGGACAATGAAATTACTGGTTTACAGGCAAAAATAAATTTCATATTTCAATGTTTTATTCATTAAAACACTAGGCAAGCGCCGCAGCAGGCATTTTTGGGACATCAAAAAGAAGTTGAGGTACTTACATTTATTGTTTTCTGTGGTCGGCATACAAGAAACGACTTAACTGATTCAGCGGCAATTTACTGCCACTCAAAATACAGGAAAAAACACTTCCATAACTGTGAGTTCCCAAACTGTGGACCAAAGATTATGGTGGCCAAATCGAACGTCCAGTCGAGTAACTTTGTTTGTGGCGTGGGATTTCGTTTCCGACAAACACCTATCTGGCGTCTGTTCATTGGTAGTTTTGTTTCACTTTTACTTGCCCAGTGAGATCTGACAATACAGTTGGGGTATTTGCGGCAATATGGTCTGCATATTCTCCAACGAGATAATATTGCACTTCTGTCCGCGACATGAGTAGTGGAAACATTTTTCCACATGATGTCCTCCTTTTTTATGCAACACTAAGCCTAATAAAATTACGTCATTTAATTGTTGTCGCTATAATGAACAGTGCGCAATAGTTATACAAAAGGCGTGACCAAAGGCCAAGTAGACTTGCACACTTGAATTATTCTAGGATTTGAGATGACTGTGTTGCTAAGATTTACATTTTACTCTGTCATATGCTATGGGCTTAGACGTCTGGCTTCATACATTTCTTATCTTGCGAACTGACCAATGCGAATGACCATACCAAATGAACTATTGTCCGCATTTCTCTTATTCATATCACCATCAGTGTCTTAACTTGTTCATCAAACAAAACAGCCTTACTTATGAAAGTTGAATCTGTATCCATCCCTAGAATAGGACAACGTGCTCCATTTGTTTATTATTCAACTAGCCTGTTATTTAAATTCTGCCCAAGTCGGAGTGACTTCAATCCGACACCTTGAGTTCTAATCATCTACGGTTTTGGATTCCCCAACCAGATCTTTCATCGTAACGATAACTGGACGAGTCAAGCCAACAAGCTGAGATTTTCCGATTTTAACATTCTAGGTGTTCTGACCTGCGGAAACCTTGCTCTCGCCATCATAAGCCACATGTTCTCTTTCAAAATTATTTCCTCTCTTTGAGTATATGCCTTATCTACGGAGTTCTGTGTCTGCATACTTACTGTTGAAAAATTTGCCGCCTACAGCGGACCAGGCGAGAGTCACGCTGGATCAACACGCAAGCCAGATCAGGACATGGTACGCGTTGCTTGGGATGCACACCCACGACAAATCTCTTAAAATGTGGCGTGATAGCAAGCCTAGGTGCAGGCTCACACCAGCTACCTGCAACCTATCCGTGTATCAGAGTCGGGCAACAACCTGCTGCCCAGTAGACGGAGGAGAGAGTGAGGTCGGTTAGGACTGGTCGTGGAACCCCGCTGGGTTAAGCACGTATAGGCAACTAGTATATTTGTCTTAGAAGGCCTCTTTGTTCATTAGGCCATAGCTACAGGAAGTCTCCCTTTGTGTACCGCCTAAAAGTTTGATAGAACCGCACGCATTAAGTTTCTTCAGTTTGACTTTTTAATGGTGAATTATTTGGCATGATGTTCTTGCTCCCCTTTTCCGTAATTCCTTTGTCTTGCCTTGGTTTCCTAGCTACCCCAATGCACTTGCACTGCCTTTTGTTGTCAATTCCGTACGCTGTCACCTACTTATTTCTTCCGAAAGGGTAGCCAAATCTTTTGTGCCATGTCGGTACTCACTATACTGTGCGTGCTACAAGGATCGCCGGTTGCGTTTTGGTTTACTTTGACTTGGTTAGAACATAAATGGTCCGCTTTTTCGATATCTTTGAACGGCTTCTGTTGTCTTACGCATACGCCTGACTTGTTTATTTCTTTAAGAATACTTGTGTATAGTCTCTCTCATAAACAATAATAAGACAGTTAAAATAAATTAAGAGATGTGGTTGCACAACCCACTATT